CCTGAAAATGATCCCATTTTCTAAAGGGTGGAGCAGCCCACACACCAGAGTCAAATCAACCAGATCCGCTTCCACAGGTCTAGACCAACCAACTAAACCTCACCCATAACATCCTTTGAAAGCCTCCCCAGCATCTAACCCAGCCAGACACCAGGATGAAGGAAAATAAACTAAGAAGCACTATGCCTGACAACGAGATGAGGAGCAGTGGTGCTGGTGGTCCCCTGCCATCACCACAGCAGCTCCCAGCCCTGGCCAACAGAGCATGAAGCAGTTTGTTTTTGGTTTCTCCCTGTCATTACAGCTGGGAAAGGTGCCCTAAAGACTGGTTCAAGCTGGATGTGTTTGGACTTTGACTTCTCTGCTTAGGTTTCCAACAAGACGGCTAATGAATGCGGATGAGTTTTATGACCAGGCCACTAGGCTGTGCAGGGATATCTCGGTCAGGGCTGGGTTTAAGCCTACAGTTAAATTGTGTCCTCTCATGAACTTAGCAGTCTACTCAGTTTTCAAAAGCTACATGTTTAGCAATAGCCTCTTCAATCCAGTGTGTATACAGAAATATCTAAGGCTGCTCTGGCACTCACCACACTGAATGCTAGTTCAGGATTTGCTATGCCTTTAGCACCCACAAGTACCCCTCCTGTCCTGTTGAGCCCTGAATTGTTCAAGATAGGCCTAATTGTTCTCAGCTTGTCCAGTGGTTTCAGCAAGGTAAAGCAAATACTTGCTTTTTGTTGGATTATTTTCCTACCATTTCAGCTCCCTGGCTGGACCCACCACGGGATCTAAAGACATCAAAGATCAGTGCGAAGGAGAGAGCAGGAATGCACGTGTGGAAAAGGGCAGGGTTAGAGGGCAGCTGAAACTGTCGTGGAACAGCAGAACTACACTTGTTTGAAACTAACACAAAGTGGGACTAATCCACAACACTCTCAGACCAGCAATCTGTACTCAGAAGCCTCAGAATGGGAAAGCTGGATGATGAGTGCCACTTCACCAGATCACTGAAAGCAGAGCTCTAATCAAAACCAACTGCCATGAAAACACATCCCTAATGGAATAAAACTGAAGCCATCCTTTTAGTTCTGCTCAGCTACAGGAGTTTGGGAGGATTTCTGATGCAACCAACATTGCTCTATTTGGAGCACACTCCACAGATACTGACACTGAAAAAGCACTCTGCTTTCTGGATGCCTCGCCTCAGACTGGAGGCAAAGATGTGCTGTGTGCTGGGGCGATGGTACTGGCCTCATAGTTACTTCTCTCTCAAGTGGATATCGCGATCTATAGAGAAGGAAATGTGAGGAATACATTAACAGAAAATGAAACCCAGCTCCTTCAATTACCTTATTACTGCTAAACCCAGTAAGATTAACGTTATATACCTTATCCCCAAACAAGCACGGATTTAGTTAGACCAGCTGATGCTAACTTGTCTGCCCAGCTCCCTCTGGAGGCTGCCACTCACTGTAGCTTTTTAATTCACCCTGTAAAAAAGGTTAACTCTCCCAGTAAGCGTTTTGATTGTAATGATGCTTTCATGGGCAAAGGCTTCAGCCTAAACGCAGCCAATACGGGGTTTAAGTAGCCAGCTGCGGATCTTTGTCTTTGGTTTCTAATCAGAAAGAAGCCTCCCTCCCATTCTACAGCTGCAACAGATATAAGGGATCAGGCTCAGGAGCTCTCTTTTAACTTGAACGTTTTAGGGGAGGCACTGTTTTGGCTGTGACCCTAAAGAGCATGGCAGGTACCTGGAGAATTTGTGTTTGCTTCTACTGCTGCCTTCACTGGCTTTCTTTTAGCATCCAGGGCTCCCCTCACTCCCGGGCACGCGGAGCCTCTGAGGACACCAGCAGCGAGCTCAGCCCATTGCTGTGGCTGCCCAGAGGTGCGAGACGGGGCTATGCCCTCCTGCCTCCCCTCCTCAAGGTGCTGTCGGACCAGGACCACCAGGGCTGGGAAAGCGAGGTCCCCAGGCTGCAGCCGGACTCCAGAGCCCTTCGCTACATGAAGAGGCTGTATAAGATGTCTGCTACCAAGGAGGGAATCCCAAAGGCTAACAAAAGCCACCTCTATAACACTGTCCGGCTTTTCACTCCGTGTTCTGAATGCAAGCAGCACCCCAGGGACCTGATGAAAGGTAGGTGTGCAGGGACAGGAACTGATGAGGTTTAAATGGGGGGTTCTATGTGTTCTGTGCTTGCAGCGTAACATAAAATGTCTTATTTTTAGAGCTGTTGGTATTTTAGTCTGGGGGCTTTGCTCTTAAACTGCAGGAGTTTTTCATAACCTGCTTCTTGCTGAATGGCATTAGACAGTTTGGGAAATGCCACACCACTGGTGCTCTGTTCTAGATGATACCGATGTTTCAGGCTGACTCCTCTTGCTTTGAGTCAGAGAAAACTACAATCGGTTCTAATTAAAGTGAGAAAAGTAGGAAATATGGTTAGGCATAATGGGCACCATGTTTCCTTCTGCTGCCCATCTCAGTTTTGGGTTACTCAAGGCCATAAAACCAGAGCACTGTAACCAAGTGCCAGCACCTCCTTGCAAGCTGACTTTTCTCCTTGCCTTACATGTTTGCTGGGGAAGAATCTGCTGCTGAATCATTTCTGTTTCTCCATTCTATGATAACATTTGTGTCTAGGTGGATATTAAGACTCACTAACTCTCCAAGATTGCCATTTTCCTTCTCAGGAGACATTCACCTGGTGGATTTACTCTTCAACCTGGATCGCGTCACTGGTCTCGAACACTTGCTCAAGTCTGTCCTGCTCTACTCCTTCGACACCTCAGTTCCTATCTCCTCTTCAGTTACGTGCATGTGCCATTTATTTGTCAAGGAGCATGATTTTGCTGGCCAAGTCTGTCCCAGCGTCTCACATGCAGTAGCTTTTAGCCTGCACTTTGAAGTCAGAAAGCGCAAGTGGGTTGAGATTGATGTGACTCCTTTTCTGCAGCCCCTAATCGCTACTAACAGGAGGAATATTCACATGGCTGTGAACTTCACTTGTCTGATGGGTGATCCACAACAGAGCACTAACCTGGAAAACCCTGTGAACATGGCACTGGTTCCCCCTTCTCTTCTTCTTTACCTGAATGATACCAGTGAGCAAGCTTACCACAGGTGGAACTCACTGAGGCACACAAGGAAAATCCCAGTGCGGCCCAGGCGAAGGAACGGTCTGCTTGTCGATCCTTCGGGTGACAGAGGAAAAGAGACTCCACAGGGCAAAAGGGCCTCTCGCCGGCGGAGAGACGGGAATGGGAAAGACGCACCAGCAACTTCGCCCTCAGATCTGAGCGAGTACTTCAAACGGTTCCTGTTCCCTCAGAACGAGTGCGAGCTTCACAACTTCCGCCTGAGCTTTAGCCAGCTCAAATGGGACAAATGGATCATAGCACCGCACAGGTACAGCCCCCAGTACTGCAAGGGTGACTGCCCAAGGGTGGTCGGGCACCGCTACGGCTCTCCTGTGCACACCATGGTACAGAACATCATCTATGAGAAACTGGACCCGTCCGTCCCGAAGCCCTCCTGCGTTCCTGCCGAGTACAGCCCGCTGAGCGTCCTAACCATAGAGCCCGACGGCTCCATCGTCTACAAAGAGTATGAAGACATGATAGCTACCAAGTGCACTTGTCGGTAGTGGGTGAACCCCGGTTGGTTTTACTCGGGTTTTGGGTGTTTTGGCATTCTCAAAGTAGTTGCAGCTGTAATGAAGCGAATAGCGTTTGTGTAGTTCTCATAGCTCTACAGAATCCCTTAGGATTTAGTATGGAGTCAGTAGAAGGTGTTTACACCAGAGCACTTATTTTTGTAGCCACTCGGCCTTTCTGGAATGTGCAATGAAATGTAAATAATACCTTTTTATTGGAATAATTTTGCATTTAAAATGGGGAAGAGACTTCAACTACCAGATGTCTATTTTAAGCTGTTTTCTTATAGATTCAAAAAGAGAAATAAATGCCGATCTTGCATACCACTTACATTCAATGCCTTTGAACTCTCATTTGCATTTGAACCCTCCCCGCTAAGGGGATTCATAGAATTCATAGAATCCGAGGTTGGAAGGAACCCTAAGGCCTAGAAAGGTTGGACCTGATGGTCAAACATGACTTAGACTAGATGTCCTGGCACCCTGTCCAGCTGGATCTTAACAATGCTCAGTGTTAGGGAATCCACCACTTCCCTGGGGAGATCATTCCAATGGCAGGTTGTTCTCATTGCAATGAAGTTTCCTCTTGTGCCCAGTTAGAATCTCTGCAAGCGTAACTTGTGCCCATCCTTTCCCTGATTCCTTGTAAAAAGGGAGTCCCCCTCTGCTTTGGGGTTCTATGTTCCAGTATTTAAAGGATGATTACAGACTGGTTTGTGCTGAAGGGACCTTAAAGCTCCTCCAGCCCCAACCCCTGCCAGGGGCAGGGACCCCTTCCACTAGAGCAGCTTGCTCCAAGCCCCTGTGTCCAACCTGGCCTTGAGCACTGCCAGGGATGGGGCAGCCACAGCTTCTCTGGGCACCCTGTGCCAGCGCCTCAGCACCCTCACAGGGAAGAGCTTCTGCCTAAGAGCTCAGCTCAGTCTCCCCTCTGGCAGGTTAAAGCCATTCCCCTTGGCCTGTCCCTACAGGCCCTTGTCCCAAGCCCCTCTCCAGGTTTCCTGCAGCCCCTTCAGGCACTGGAGCTGCTCTCAGGTCTCCCCTTCAGGAGCTTTCTCTTCTCCAGGCTGCACAGTCCCAGCCTTTGGATCCTCCTTGTGGCCCTTCTCTGACCCTCTGAGCCCGTCCCCACCCTTCCCGTAGAGCAGGGACCAAAGCTGCCATGTCATTCCACGCTCTGAGCACGCTGGGATGACGGCTCCTTTACCCGCGCGGGGGATGCTCTCCCTGCGGTTCCCCAGCACGCCGCACGCACCGCCGCCTCCGACACGCTGCGAGGGAGCGACAGGAGAAGCATCCCCCGCCCCGGAAAGGGAAGCAGCATCTCCGCTTCCTCTTCCTCTGCGGCGCCGGAGCGGTGCCTCGGCCGGCGGGGGAAGGTGACCCGGCAGCGCCATGGGGCTTCACTTCGGGAACCTGGCGCGGGTCCGGCACATCATCACCTACAGCCTGTCCCCGTTCGAGCAGCGCGCCTTCCCCAACGTCTTCTCGCACGGGGTGCCCAACGTGTGGCGCCGGTTCAGCTCCCAGGTCTTCAAGGTGGTGCCCCGTGAGTACAGCGGCCCCGGGGCCCTCCTTCCGTTATCCTTTTCCCCCTCAGCATCGGCGCTCTGGGGACGGGGCAGGCTCTGTGTGGCAGCAGCCTTGCGTAGCGCTGGGAGTAGTCACAGAGGGGCTGTGCTTATGGCAGTGCGGCTCGTGAGTGTGCCCCTTGCCTTTCCTTTCCTTCCAGCCTTCGTGGCAGCCTATCTCCTGTATTCCTGGGGAACCCAAGAGTTTGAGAGGCTGAAGAGGAAGAACCCCGCTGACTATGAAAACGACCAGTGATTCAGTGAACACGGATGTCCTTCTCTCGCTGTGTTATCACTTTGGGGTTGTTAAGCGTCTCCACATGACCAGAAGGGTATTAAGGAGGAGATAAGTCTTGTCTAATAAACTTTGCCCTGTGACTTTGCGTGAAATCTTGTGAGTCTTGGGATGCTTAAGGTGAGCAGCATCAGATCTGTGTCTGGTTTGCTCTGTCCAGGGAGATAATCAGTCGGGCTAAAGTTCTGTATGCTCAGATGCTTTTATCTCAGAGCATTTCCAGCCTGTTTCTTCGCGGCGTTTCTCAGTATAACTAACACAGCAAGGGGTGCCTTCAGCTGGAGATGACTTGAAATAACACCTCCTACCTCCCTGCTGTTTGTCTTTCCATCCCTGGCTGCTGCTTCGTCCTCCAGCCTTGAGATCTGTGAAAGGCAAACAGCCCATGACTCGGTACTGCCCAGCACTGTGTGAGCTGGCAGTGGTCAGGCTGAGCATGGACCTCGACCCCAGTGCAGAGGCTTGTTCTTCACCAGGAGCCCCATGCAGGGACAGCGGGTACACGCTGCACCCCCAGCGGGTACGCAGTGCTCCGAGAGGGGTTTCATCACGATGCAGGAAAGGGATGTTTCCTGCATGAGAACAGGCGGGCACAGGAGCAGCCTCCCCAGGGGTGTCCTCAGCTGGGGGGGTCTATGGATGGGACAGGACATGGTGCCAGATGGCCTCAGCCGGGCCCCTTCCCATGGGAGACTGCACCAGACAATATTTCAAGGTCCTTTCCAACCTGGGCTCTTCTGTGGCTTAAATTACCTGGTTATATTCATTGATTAACTGTAGCTCTGCTATTGATGAGTATTAACAGAATCATAGAAACTAAGGCTCTGTAATACCTGAGGATGACTTAAAAACAACTGCTTGTAGTAAAGTGACTGAAGTACGGGACAAAGAAACTCACCCTGTGGCTTTAAGTGAACAAGCTCCACTGTTCGCAGTCCAAACACCTGACTGGTTCCCTTATCCTACTCTTCCCTTGCAGCTGACTGTCTCAGGCTCCTGCACCACACAAAGCAATACGTTTATCTCCCTGTTGTGCTGTTCCTGCAGCTGGTACCAAGAATTTTATCTTATCCAGTGTGGGAGTGACGTTTCCCTGAGTCCATTTCTTGGTGTGCTCAGTCCTGGGCTATCTGGAGGACAAGGATGCTCGGGCTCTTCCTGCAGGAAGATGGGGATTACGCAGTTTTTATAGCTGAATGCTTTATTCTTTTGGGGCTCTTAGCACATGGGACTAAGCTTAGTGTTAGGGCTGTTCCTACTGCTCCTGTGCTTACTCCAAGCACGGTGTGATGCTGGCATAAACAGGAGTAATATAAGTCCTAGAATGGTTGGGGTTGGACAGGACCTTAGACACCATCTAGTTCCAGTGCCCCTGCATCCTGCTTATCCGCCACCCCCAGCAGTTGACGGGTGGCTGGAAGGGTGCCCTGGTGCGAGCTTTTCTGTTGGTAGCTGCCGTAAACCCTCATTTTTCACCACGTTGCACCTCAGCAGCTGCTGAAGGGCAGCAGCTCCGCTCGGCCTCTGTCCCTGTACACAGACAGCTGAACCGTGTCCAAACCAGCTGCTAGACAAGCGCAAACACTGCAGCACGTTCCCAGCACCATCCCCGCAGCTGCAGTGTCAGCAGCGAGCAGGCTGCAGGCTGAGCCTCCTCACCCTTTGCTCCTGTCGCAACCCTGCCCAAACGCTGTCCTCTGGTCCCGCAGGGCCGTGCCCCGGTGCCGGTGTCCCCGTGCTCGCCGCAGGGCCTGGCCTGCCTGGCAGGGAGCCGGAGACGTGGCATTCGGGACGGCAGCCAGGGGGACGTCAGGGCTGAACAAGGTGTCTGGACATTCTGCTGTCATCTCGTTTATTTCTGTCCTCCCTTTGGTAAATATTGGAAGTGGCAGCGGAGCAAGCGCGTGGGTTTTCCTCTTAGAACCTGTGGCTTTTTGCTGACAACCTGCGCTTGTCCGTGTGGAAACACTTGGCTCCGTTTTCACCTTTCTTGCCCAGTTTCTTGCCCAGATTGCTGCCTGAAAGGGACATGCTGATGCTGTCGGTAAGCCAGAAGGACACACAAGGATTTTGATCTACTGGCACTACGTACTGGTCTTACCCAGCCAAAAAAGCTCAGAAATGATGACAGACAGAGGGGCTCTCTGGCAGAGCTGAAGGAGCCGTCACCTCAAATCCTGTGCTCCATGGATGAAGGCTCTTGCTGCTGCCGCTTGTCCTTCCTGTTCTGTGCTAGTGCCTGGTGGAAACAGCAGGGATTAGAACGAATTCTCCGGTATCAGTTGTAGACAATAAGCTGGGAAGGGTTTTTATTTAATCCCAGTGAAGTTTGGGCTAAGGGGCAATCATGTGTAGACAGGAACCTGACAACATGGCATTATCTTAATCTAACTTGCCTTCCACGCTGGCACTACTGCCCCCATGTTAAGCAATCACTGAAAATGGCAGCCTCGTAGGCACAGATGTGTATTTGCCATTCAGCAAAAGCACACTTCACTATTTTATACAGTATCGTGACTTAGCTTAAAACACAGGGTGCTCCAACCCCCCCCCCACCTGACACAAATAAACTGCTGCATTCTCTTTATGCTACCCTGCAACCTCCAACATCTTGTCCCTGGCACGCTGGGTGTACAGGGGGGAGCTGCGGGAGCCAGAGGCACAGCATCCGAGATGAGGAGTGGGAACCAGTGAGGTCCAGGTACAGGCTGATCTTACTCATACTCTTCTCCCACCTGTCCCAGTGCTCGTGAGCTGAGGGGGCTGTTGAAGGCAGGAGGTAACACACAGCTGTTCTTCAGTGTTCTTTTCTCCGGGCTGTTGCAATCTCATTTCACAATGGGAAAAACTAACATTCCTCTTAATGACAAGCTGCTCACCCACATCAATGGGAGCTGAGGCACCCTTTAGGAGACTGATTGTGAGTTACAGTGTAAGGTGCAGACTGTGGCAGTGACAGCCCATTGAAAGAAGCCACAGTCTTGCCACATGGAGCAACTCTGCTCCAGAAACCCTTGCAGCAATCTCTCCTTTTGGGATTCACCATTTAGAGGTTATCATCTTCACCTGCACATCAGGCTCCCTGGGAGAAGAGGTCTGTTTTATCATGTACGACATACATTTTACATTCCAAAACCTATCTGACAAGTGTTCCTTCTGCTTTTTGAGTGCTGGGGGGGGCAAGGCAGGTTAAGTAACTTCCTCATCATTCTTTCGCATACCAAGAATGAGAAGCAGAATGAAAACCGTGATTCTCTGCTCCAAATAAGCTCACTAAGACAAAACTTCCCCCAGCTGACAACCTCAAAGCTGCACACAGAAGTTAAATAAGGTCATGGCTTTTGATCTTTACCCTAACACTTTGGGCCAGCCACCCTTTTGCATTCAAATCCACCCCAGGGTTCTGGTAATGCGCTGGGTAGGTTTTAAAGGAAGGAACAGCTGGCACAAGTGGTAAGCTGAGCAGACAAAGTACAAGTGGAAGGAGGGTAAATCATTAGCCAGAGAGACAGGCCTTGAACCAGATCACTGCAGCAGATGCTAATTTAGTCATTCCCTCTTGCTCCGAATCGAACTTTGTTCCTGCAATGACTGACAGCTGATGCAACGATAAGAGAATGAAGTCTATAAAAATCTAGCTGAGGCTCGGGAAGTTCTATTTGGGGCTCTTCTACCTCCTCCGCGCGAGGCCGGTCCCGCGGTCCAAGGGACAGCCCACACTGGGAAGATGCACTGTTGGAAAACGCTGGCGCTCGCCTTGCTCTGCTCCCTGCTGCTCTGTCAGGTAAATAGAGACAAGGATTTACAGCGCTGATTCAAGTGCTCAGAGACTTACCAAAACCTGTTAGGGTTTGCATGAATAAGAATACCCGGCGGAGGTTAGAGGTGACAGCAGAGCTCCTTCGGAGCATTCCCGGTCACAAAAAACCTGCCTAGTGAATACTGCCTTCTTCTGAGATGTAACCTGCAGTAGTTCCGCCTTTCCTCCCAAGGACTTAAAAACCAGTGTTGATTTTTATGCTTACTTCTGTGGGGGTAGGATACAAGCAATTACACTTCAACAGAGCACGTTATGAGCTCAAAATGAGAAAGATTTCAAGTTCTTCACTTAAGACTTGAGCTCAGCAGCAGCATCACCAGCTGCTGCCTGCTCTGACAGCCACCCTGACTCTCTTCCAGACACACTGTGCTTCCTTGAGCCAACCAGAGCCTCAGCTGGTGAGAGAGAGGAGGATGACACCCTTCTGGAGAGGCGTCTCACTGAGACCTGTTGGAGCCTCGTGCAGGGACAACAGTGAATGCATTACAATGCTCTGCAGGTAACAGCCTCATTCATGATCAGGCTCAGTGTGACTTAGCGTCGTATTAGGTAGAGAAAGTTCCCACTTATTCTCCCCTAATGAGGAATGGAGTTAATTCTGTGCATTAAAAACAGATACCAGGAATAGGGATGGGGCAATAGATTCAGACCTCCTTTGTAAGCAATGCCAACAGAGCAGAGTCCGAGTGCCCCTGGTCCTTTCACTGCCACCCCAGATAAGCCATCTTCTGAAAGAAGAGCACAGCATTTGAGACAGCTTTGGGGTAATCACAGACCTTAAAATTAATCCTTCTTAAAGGCAGTTCTGTTCACTCTAAAGCATATTAACCAAAAGCAGTACCTTACCCTAAATGAATCACTTTGATGACTTATGCTCACAGTTTAAGACAACTAAATATAAAAAGCCACTGGACATGAGCGAATTGTCCAACTATGTCTACTTAAATTGATTAGTTACAACTACTACTTGGTGACTGAAAGGTGATTTTGCATGGCACCTACTCTGCACATACCAGAAACAATTAGAGACGGGTAGAACAGAGCCACTTTCTGCTCTGTGTACAAGAGAGGACAGCCAAGTGCAACTCATACTTGGTTCTACTGATTAACTGTAACAGCAGCTACTGGAAGATCTCAGTAGAACAGGGCTTCAGCTGTGGGTGATTTCTACACCACAGCCTGACCATACAGCTCTGTGAAACGCACATGTTGGAGCTGTAATGTAAAGCAGAGACCATAAAGTGAATGGAGCTGAACTGGATAAAGGGGGGAATGCAACGTGTGCAGCCCGTGAGCGGAACAGGAGCCCTGCAAAGGCCATGACGAGGTTTTCTTTTCCAGGAAGAACCGCTGCTTCCTGACAACAGCCGCTGAGTGACCCGTCCCCCCGAAGCCCACCCGTCGCTGTTATCACTAACAGTGAAGTATTTATTGACCCTTCAGAACGAGGACAGGGGATCCAGCAGTCAGTGCATTTAATGTTTCTGCCCCAGGAACTGACAAAGGACTTCAAAGAGCTTGAGAGCGTCCCCTACCCAGGGCCATAGCTCTGCAGCACACTGGCCAAGCTCAATAAAAGGACCGTGCATCCCCTGTTTGTTTGGGTTTTTTGTAATGGTTCGTTACTGTTTTTTAAGGTGCGAATTAAAAACGTCTGTTCAGCAAACTACATTGGTTCTCCTTGTCTCCTGCGAGCAAAGTGTACAGGGAGTGCACAGCTGGCGTTTTGAGCGGGAGCGCTTCGCTCAAACTGGACTTTAGACACTTCTCCTTCAAGCTGGCAAGTGCACAAAGCAGAGCACGCTTCTATCTCCTTTCCGTCTCAACAGCTGAACTCTTATCAGCGCCTCAGATAAAGGCCTGTTAGAAAGGGAGAGCAAACAAACTGATAATACTGATAGCATTTTAATATCCCAACTATATCCAGCGATAACTGGAAGGAAAAGTATTTACCTTTAATTACTTCTAATCAAATTTACTTTAATACATGTCCTAGACTGACTTTTGCCACTGGAGTAGCTCCTGTTTTAAAATAAATGGATCAAAATCCAGTTTTGATCTGTCCCACGTTAACTCGCAGGGCTGAAAGAAACAAAACCACCTTTGATTAAGACCAGTATCAACCAGTGCAGGACGCAAACACCGACTGCCGTTTCCCTTTGGAGCAGAAACCTCTGCTTAAGCACAGTATCAGGCAGGAGGAGAGCCACACACCAGACACGAGCACACCGGTTTTGAAGTTTAATACAGAAAATCTATTTGATATTTATTAAACTTAGTTTCTCCAGTTACAGTTTTGCATTGTACAAAGCATTTTAATGACACAGTAGTTAAAAAGATCTTTACAAATTGAAATGTGATACCCTTTTCTCCAAATATTTTAATTGCCATAAATTTGTTTAAAAATACACATTAAACGCATGTTTCAGACACTAAACTTTCTATAATCTCAATACCACAAAATACATAGAATATACTATACAGATGTGGAAAAAATCTAGTTAGTATATAATACTTTGCTCACCATTAACAGCTTTATTACGTGAAATGCACATACTGACTTAGAAATCCTAATTTTGAGCCCCGAAGTACCCTTTGAAATTTCAAATGTATTGCAACAAATAAAATCACAGTCTGTGTTTTCTTCTTTTAGGTTTTGGTTGAAGACAGATGCCTAAATACTCTGATAGAAAACAAAATGTAACACATGGACTCGTCATGTACAAAGCATAAAACAGAGACATCCCATTAGTTACTAACAGTACCTTTTCCGAGTGGTTAATAAGGGCTTCACTTATAAGTGACAGGTTCAAAGTGACCTTCCCCCACCCGCGAGCCCTCCCCCAAAAGAAAAACCCTTCTTCACCAAATAATAATTTCAAATAAGATAAAGGATTTGTTTTAATAAATATATAAGCACTTTATCCTCCATATACAAAATTTCTTAAAACAATTTTAAAAGGGGGGGGGGGGGGGGGGGGGAATGGGGACACGACGACCAGATACAAATGTCAGGAACTGTGCTTGCAAAAGTCATGCCTGGTCCTTAGAGTTGAGTCCTGGGGTGTGGGATGCCAGCGCAGCCCCGGGGAACGCGGCACCAGCCATTGGGCTTGCATATAAAAACTGGAGACAGGAATGTCCCAATCGGCCTTATTGGCTCCATCAGCATGTGTGGAGTTCCACCAGGAATGGAAATGCTTTCCTCAAGCTTCCAGACGGAATTAAACCGACTGAAGCATTCACGTTAGACATCCTGTGGGAAACTCCACACTGTGCCACCGCATCCACAACCCCTCCGAGCACCGGCCAGGAGCAGAGCTGCTGCTCCACCGGGCTCCCACCGAGACCACAACATCCTGATGGCACAACCAGCCCTCACCTCCCACCCAGCACCGCTCGCTTCCAAAAGCCATCCCTGGAGACATTCCAGGCCAGGCCAGATGTGGTTCTGGGCAACCTGATCTAGTGGAAGATGTCCCTGCTCATTGCAGGGAGGGGCTGGACTAGAAGACCCTTGAAGGTCCCTTCCAGCCCCAACTATCCTATGATTCTTAAGAAACAGCACCCCGGCAGCAGAGCCCAGCTCCTTGCAAAGCAAGGGAACTGGACATAGATCATGATTCCCCGATTGACCGAGTTTAACTTTCCTATTTAGGGGATTTGTCTCCCGGAACAGCTCTGGATTTGTCTGAGTTGGCTAGCAAAAGCTTTGGCTACTCTCACAGATGTCTAGCGTTCGCTTTGTTGCTTGGAAACACACGGTTTTCCATAACACTGATTCATCAGACAGAGAAACCGAAACCCCGACCACAGTATTTGTCAGAAATGTAAGAATTTGGAAGCTGCTGACTCCCCAATGGGTAATTCAAACTGGACTTGCTCAGGCCCTTTCAATCCCTTAACATAAACACTGCAGTGACAGCAAATACCTGTTAGGTAAACTATTAAATACAGCAAAGGTAGTCTCTCTTCCTTCAGCAGCTTGCCACTTTGGCAAACCACCTCCTGATGTGCCTATGGCGTTAGTTTTACTTGCCCCAGGCAAGTGCTACATGATTCCTATGAAGTACTGACTCAGTGTGTTGGGGCCGTTCATAAATACAGTTGAGGGCATCTTTTTGTGATCACAGCAATCAAGCCTCAGCAATCTAAAGGAATATACATTGCACTCCTGTATAATATGCAATATTTATCACCACTAAGATGGTGATTCAGCACTCAATAAATAATATATCAATATAGTCAGTTGCACCATAATCTAAAAACAAGTATAACATATACTTTGGACAGACTGAGTTCATATATATATACATATATATTAAAAGACACATACAATACAAATTGCATACTGCCATCGAAAGCCAAGAAGAGCCACCCAGATGCTCTGCTTTATGGCTAATAGTTTTAAATCAAAAGAAAAGTCTAGGGCTGTTTCTCTCTGGTGTCCTGAATATTTGTTTAGACTTACTGATGGTTGCACCTTATCACCCAGGACCCTGAAGTCTGAGAGCGGGTTCAGACAGCACTGATAGCTGAGCAAGCCTAGTCTGAGTAAGCCATTATTAAGATTCACCAACTAGGACCACAGTCAGCGAGGGAATTAAAATCACAGCATTGATATGTATTTAACAGACAAGTGTCTGGGGGATCCATCTGGGAAGGCAGGAGTTCAGGATTCCCTCGTTTGTCACTAGTGCAACGCGTACTGGTACCCCAGTGACGTGTGTCACTGCTATGGAAGAACAGGGTGAGACGCATCGCCTGCACTAGGACAGAGGGATGGAAGCCTATTGAGCACTTAGCTACAGAATCTGACAGAGTACATCACTTTCCTCCCGGAAACAACAGTACATCCCAAAATTAGGTGTGCTTTTGGAATGGGGAAGTTTATCCGTTTGAACTAGCCACAGATGCATAAGGCATTTCTTTTCAATTCATGAGGCCACCAATATCTCCTGTATGGCAAGCGGCCTGGGACAGTGCTCCAGGGATATTGCACCCTGAAAACCCACTGTCCAGGTGGGACACTTTCAACCAGTCAGGTCCACATTTTGACATGATGTACAGGGGCTGGTCTCTTCTCCCAAGTAACGAGTGATAGAACACGAGGAGACAGCCTCAAGCTGCACCAGGGGAGGTTTAGACCGGATATTAGGAACAATTCCTTCCCCAAAGGGTGGTCAGGCATTGGAAGAGGCTGCCCAGGGCAGTGCTGGAGTCACTGTACCTGGAAGTGTCCACAAACCATGCAGATGAGGCTCTTAGTTACACGGTTTAGTGGTGGCCTTGGCAGTGCTGGGGAACAGTTGGACTTGATGGTCTTAAAGGTCTTTTCCAACCCGGTTGATTCCTACAATAACGTCTCGTGGTTGTTCAAAGACCATAAAGATCCACTGATCTAGGGATAAGCGATATGTTTTTCAGAGACCAATTGAACGTGACACCAAAAGGTATTTGTGGGATTCTAGTTAAGGAAAAGAAAAATAATTCCCAGAGATGAGCCCATTCCCACTACCAGGAATGGTACCTGTGCACAACGGAGCAAGCCAGAACGCAGCCATGCCGGCTAGTGCAGCACTACACAAAAAAGAAACGATGACTGCAACTTCTATGAAGGTATCTTTTATATAGCGTCAAAAGTGTGCTAGGCACTTTAGAGTATTAAAGGAAAAAGAGTTGACAGTGTCCCATTAGCCAAGATGTGGAGTCTGAGGGTACAGATTCTGTCTCAAACAGCAAACGCTAACAGAAACGTGACCTTGCACAGTGATTCAAGGAAAAGGATGTTCCAACAGACCTGAAGAGGAAATTCAGCTGTCATGGGAAGAGTCACAGGTCTGTTGCTCATGTATCCATCCATTCGTACGTAGCAAAGCTTTTCTGGAAGTACAAAACACGCTGGAACGCAAAGGAAGCTCTACGAATATGCAGCTACCTTTAGTAGGTTACTAATTGCAAAACTTCTAAACTCTTAAAGCCCATAGGACATACTGCAGTACTGAGAGCGTAGAATTCTATTCCTTCTCGCGAGGTTGCCGTGAGTTTGGCACTTAACTACAACTACACACAAAATTTAGTGCAATCATTTTCCTGAACATGCACGTTCATATCTGGTATGGAAGAAAAGGTGAAGTGGGAGAGAAAACAAAGCAGCATTCCACAATCTCACTCCAAAGGATTCAGAGTTGGACTCTTCAGAAGGAGACCACCGCAATGAGAAGTCAGTTTGTGTGACGGACACTAGGACTTTTAGAAAGGAAATGGAATTTTACCAGAGTACTGCAGAAGACCACTGCATACAGTATATACCTGGTCCTGCTGTAAAACATCTTGTAAACAGTTCATAAAATCTTCATCTAAAAGTAAGGCATAAGGCACACCAGACATGGTAGGGGCACTAAGCGATACTGAAAGCAGTAGCAGTTTAAACCATTAACTCAGACAAGCACCTCACGTGGAAAGGTACTTTGGTTTTCACTTTTTGAGAGCAGGCAACTGCAACTCCATCAACCACTTCTGTTGCACCAAGTCGCTCCCTCGCAAGTGAGTATTATGCTCCATCAAACATTAACGGGACCTTCATCAACACGGGGTAAATACAAGTTTTAAATCCATTCTGCATCACAACAGTCACTCTCCCTGTAATAGCAGGTGTGCTCCCACCCCACGACGGCTCTTGCACTGTCATCCTGTAGTGTCCATCACCTATCAGACCCTAAAAGGAAAAAATGGACCTCGGTTTCTAAAGTTTCCTGGTTTCTCAGTCAATGGAAAAGATGCAAATGACAGTTCTGGTAGGAACTTAACTGCTGTTGGGTTTGTCCACCACAAAGTTCACCGACTCCGGAGGTGTCAGGAAACGACAAGCACGGAAACAAAAGGTATTTCAAATGAAGAGATGCAAAAAAGCACAAGATTGTCCTTTTCAGAAACCTTTCCTGTCTGCATCGCACCTGCCGGGCTGAAGCTCATTCCTACACCATTTCTTCGATCTCACATTGAACGCAAATCACTGTAATGTTTTGTGATTGTTATAGTGTTAATCCATGTTTGGAAACTGCCTGGAAAACCATCCAAGTCAGATCCAGCTAAATACTTTTCCATATAAATTTCTTTATAATTCATTTAAATGAAGTATCTTAATACATAGAAGAATATCTGGAACTTTTCTATTTAGTACAAATTCTGCAATAATAAATCTGTAGTTGTCATTTATTAGTTGACTCGTAGGCATTAGGCATGGAAAGTATGGTGTCCCTACACGTTAGAACCTATCAACCCTACTTCCTTTACAGGCTCTACCACCACAAGACATTACAGAGTAACAAAGCTCACAAAGTACTTAAATAAAGTGTCTATGTTTAATTTCCGCTAAGTACTCGAAAGGATAAATTTAGGGAATAACTAAGAACTGCCCCAAAACCGGGCTGTTCAAACTTAAAATTAAAAAAATTCAAATAAATAGGATTTAAATGGACTCTTCCTGTATTGTGACTGGAATTCCAGTGATCTGCCCATGACAGATCAGCAAAACTACTCCTTTCTATGTAGCAAATTATAAAATACTTAAATAACTTAAACCGGGAATACTGAAGCAGTCCAATAACCAAATGATTTGGGGTTAAAACACAAAACACAAATGAGGATGGGAGACATGTGAAAGCATTCTTTGCTCTTAGTGTCAACTAAGCAATGTATTATGGCAGTCTTCCTTATTGACATGACACAGTGTTGTGGAGATAAATCAGAGGCAGCGAGAAAAATGTGTTTGAGTTTCCATTCCTTTAGTTCCAAATATCACTTGGCATCCAGGCGCAACCAGTGTAGTCCCTGACGGGTGTAACGCACTAGGTCTGTCATGATGCTCGAGTTAAAAACCAGAGGGCCCATAACTTTATCCAGTTCAGCAAAGAACTCTAAAAGAACAGAAACACAAGTTAAAGCTTTGCATGCACCTTTATATGAAATATTACATCCAACCCCCATCCTTAATGGCTTTACAACTGACACTCAGCCAGCCTGGGGTTTCGCTGTAGACCAATGCACAACCTTCCACCTCACTTCTGCAGAGGACCTGGGTAAGCATCCTGCACACTACTAACTGCAATGCCCCAGTTCAAAGCCTGTGAGCACACTCTGGTACATCTGGCGTCCTAACCCTCCCCTGCCAGCTCTTACCTTTCTGTTCTTTAGACAGCTGTTCGGCTTGGTCCCATATTTCAGTGGCATAGAGGAAGTTGGATGTAACCTGGACATAGCTGGCAGCCATCTGATGGATCCTCTGGGGGATCGTCACCGAGGACCCACTTCCTGAAGGGTTGGCTGCCCCAGAAGAGTAATTTCCTGAATTCCCTGGAGACAGCTTTGGGGAGACTGGAGATGGCATACCCACGGGCTTGCTGCTTGGCCAAAGGAAACATTCAGTTGTAAACCACATATACACACACATGTACTTTGGGCACAGCACACTGTAAGATGCCCTCCGAGAGCCCTCTTCCCACATCTAAAGCACTCCCCCACCTTGCATATCAAGAGGGCAGGATTTGCCCTCCAACGCATGAAGTGCATGGAGCTGGGAACAACTGTTGAGGACCCTCCAACTCCTGTGTGTTAACTTCTTGGCCAAAACCTAATTGCCAAACCTCATCAACTCCTCATCCAATCAGATCTTAAATTCATTGTTTAAACAAATTGAACCCTAAAGAGTAATAATGAAAACATTACAACTACACGGTAACTATTCAGCCATAGAATAGTGACCTTCAGATAACACAATGCAAATCTGAAATGCCCTCCCACAACTCACAGAGTAATGATCAATGATCCAGCATTAGGCTTAAAAGAACAGAAGTAAATTGCTGCACTGTGGAACAGATGACTGAGAGCTCTTGTAACATTCTGGGCTTGCAGCATTAACAAAACCATTGTTTGGAGGGGAAAAAGCATTAAATAAACCAACAAAACTCACTGAGAGAAGTGACTTGTGTGTTAGTGACACACCGACCCTTAAGTCTTCCAAGCCTTTCTGCACACAAACAACTGAATCAAAACCTACACCCTCAGAACCATCACCCAACACTTTAAAGAGTGAAAAGCCACTTCCTGAGCACCTCAGGCACAGAGTGAACATAGAAAACTAGCTCTAGGTTGAGAAGCACAGGGAACAGCTTTGCCTACTCACCTTCCCATACCAGGTGATGGTGCTTGAGAATTATTATAGGAATTCTGTTTGGGGGGAAAAAAAAAAAAGAGATTTGTCACCTGATTCATGCCCGTACTTTCACCACTCACACTTTATCTGCTTATTTAAGTGGCTATTTTTGGCCAAATTAATTTTTGTTGTATTAAGCAATAACCACACTCTAACTAAGGTCCCAGTGAATTAACGTTTGGGTAAATATCCTCTTTTACTGATGACTAAGGCATAAATTAAGGGATTATTTTAGTAACACAAAGGCCACTAAATATACATAGGACTGGAGCAGTCCCCTGCTCAACCCGTTAGAGAACATCTTGCTTTTTTCAGCCCATTAATGGGAAGAAATCTGTTATTTCTGGCACTGAACAATTAAAGATGTCTCAAAAATCTGAGAAGTCAGGCATGAGACAATCCCATTTCCTCTCAGCTGGGAGCTTCAGAGAAACCCAGTGACATGAGTCACCTATCCCCAAGTGCTCCTTTGGGAAAGCTCCTTACATTAAGGACTGAGTAAAGCTACAGAAGCATCATAACTGTTTTTCCTCATCTGCAACATCTTGATTTAAATAAGCACTTGGAGGATGTGCCTCTTCATCTCCTTTCCCTGAGTTCAGGTAAATTCATGGCAGGGGGGATAACAAAAATACCAAACATCCCACTGCAAACACCACAGTCCTGAAAGACCCATTTGGGTTTGGTTGTCACAGTCTGAAAACCGGATTCAGGAATTCTAAGTGATGCAGAGCTTCAATGGGATTAGGGTTTAAGAACACACAATTACCTTCAGATGTTCAGTCAGAGTTTTAGAATATTTCAATGCACTTTCCTTCTTCAGCTTGAAAAGCCTTAGGTATAGCAGAGATTGGCACCGCAGACTGCCCAAAGACAGAACAACACAACACTCACAGTTCAAGTCTACTTTATCACAACCCAGTGAGTATCAAATAAACCTATATCAATGAACATCAAAAATCTAAGAGCTGTGTTTCTGACATTTTCTCAACCAACTCTGACTTCCAGCTAAGTTGCAACTCAACCATGAATCCATGACCCCCTTCGAATTCCCAAGGCCATAAACCCAGCTCTGTGCCTTCAGCTGAAACAATAAAATTCAGTGATTTTACTGATATAATCAGTTTCCAGTGCTGAGCTTAGAAAACAACAGTCAGTTACTTCCCAACACAAAGGTTTCATTTATTTCTTGCTCCCTTCAGGCCATACAGAGTCCAATGCATCCCACCATGGTCTCCCTTTTCTGCTTGACTCCAACTGATCCTGCTGAGGCCAACTCTTTACAGCCACTCCCAAGTTTGACTTAGCACTGGGTGAGCACACAGGAAGGACCCTCATCCTTTCTGCAGTTACTCCTTAACAGTTCAAAGACTTGGCCTTCGCTGTCAACATCCCCTCAGCCCCAGCCTACCGTAATCACATATACAGCAGTAACCTTTGTGTACAGCCAAGTGGAAAACTCATATGTGGTTCAAAACCACCTGAGAACTCAGTGTCGTACAGCATTTCATGTAGGGAAAACACTTGATATTAATCAGGGCATTAAGGTCAGACGGTGCATTGTACTAAGTTCAGAAGACACGTACCAAAGCACTGCTAGCCTTTTATCTGCAGCCGTGGCATCAGGTGCCAAGTAATTCTTCAGCTTCATAGTGTATCTGCAAACAAAGACAGCAAGTAAGCAACATAAAACCGACAGTTATCATTTATCAATCACCAAACATTGGTGTTTTCATGAATTCCTAGTTTTACTTTGTCTTCCCCAGTTCAGAAACTTCTCTCAGTCCCTAAACAAAATGCCAACTAGGCAGCAACTGCAACAGTTTTGCTTCTTGTGTTATGCCTTGTAGAGTGATGTCAAGAACCTTAGCAGAAAACATCTCAACCACCATGAGAACACTTTAAGCCTCAGTAACTGGAACGAACTGGGAAGTGATGCACTTATACTGGAGAAAGAGATCTCAAAAGCTGGCACAACTTCAGTGCATCTAGCAGCTCTGGTTTCCAGACATCTTTCCCACCCACTTCACTTTCGTATTTGCTTTGCAATGCTTACTTGATTAATTCCACAGTTTCTGAATACATAGGGAACGGGGACTTGGATTCCTGAGCATTTTTCTCCAATGCATTCCCACACTCAATGAACGACACTACAGCATCTAGGTAGTAGACAGCCTTCTCAAACCTGTCAGACTGAGCACATGGGAAAAGCTTTTAAGGACAAAACCCAGAGAGGAAGTACAAGAGAGCTGCAGTACAGGAGGGCAGCAAAATGGCAAGAGCAGGAAACAAACCCCAGTATAATGTGCAAACCCTGGATGAGTATCAGAGATCTACTTACCAATGCATCAGCATTATGTTTTAGCTTCTTTGCTTCTTGCAAATAATGATCAGCTGAGTAAGTCCTGCAATAGAGGACACAAGGAATCAGCCCCAGCCATATCGCGTTCCATTTTATGACTGAAGTTTCCTAATGTTGTCAAGTTTCCTATTTTCTGTGTTTAACTCAGGTTAGAGGAGCTACACTCTGATAAGCCAGGTAACCAGCACGGTTAGCTATAGTATTGTAAAATATAGCTTAAAGTCAGTTCTCTAGCTTCAGGTAATTCAAAACAGCATTTCAAACAAGTTAACAAATGTGACACAGTTAAATTTACTGCATTTGACACTCAAGCAAACCAAACCCCTGACCAACAACAGGGGCAGGGAAGGAAAAAACACAACACTTGAGGACAAATTCATCCAGTGCCTCCAGGACTGGCATTACTGGGGCTGTGAAAGAGAAATTATGACAGTAGTACAGAATAGCTGCATTCAGGTGTGAAATGCTTTCGCTTAGCCTCCCAAAGCAATCAAAGCTAAATGACTTCCACACCAAGATGAGCAGAAGACAATCATAAAAGTGTAATTATACATTTCAATATATTAGCGTATTACCTAGGAGATGATTTAAGTTTGAAATCAATTCTCCCATCCACACTATCTTACTTGTCAAAGAATTAAAGATATTTGAAATCAATGATTTTAACAGTCCACTTACAGGAAACTCAGGGAATTAAAAAGCAACAGTTACTACAGTTACTACTAAACCTATTCTATACCTACAAAATTAGCCAATAGTTCTAGGCCCAAGAAATCCTAAAACGCCTCAGTCAAAACCATAAGGTTCTACCATGTCACCATTCCAAAGCACAATGACCATTGCTCAGAGGGTGCTCTCGTTAGCTCTTCCTACACTTCAATTCACATTTGGAATTCATTTTTTAAAGAAGTTTGATGTTTTCTCGGTTTCTCATCCCTGTTTTGTCTTGGAATAATTGAAAAAAACCCCATAAACTCTTTTGCCCTAAATGACTGACAGTGCAGCTCAAATCACCGAAGTCACTTAACTCCTTTCTTTTACTTTCTGTAAGGAACAGCTATGAGGAAAAAACCACTGAGCAGCAGAGAGGTAGCAGCAGTGTCCTGATAAGGTGAAAAGGACACATCAGCATTTAAACCAAGAAGAGCCCTGAGCTATTTAAGTCTATTGCATGGTCCTCTAATGCTCGGCAGGAATGTGCAGGGCAGGCTACAGCTCCTCCTCAAGGACTGTGCTGTCTGCCAAGGCACTGGCCCGGGGAGCAGGCAGACAAGCACAGCACTGCAGGAACAACACAGAGCTCCCCAGGGTAGGAGTGTGTACCTAAGGTCTTTTGTGAAGCAAGACGACAGCTCTTCTCCACAGGGAGCTGGCCACGCTCCACAGAGGGAGAGGCACCTTCTGCTGTTCTTACCTATCATCGAAAACAAGTTTTGCTCTTCTTGACTTGGAGCTCTCTGCAGACTGAGCAGACACAGGAGGGCAGCTGGATGAATTGTTCAGAATCTTTTCCTGAAAGGAAAATTGGTGCCAAAGAATAAATGTAAAGATCAGTTACATCTTCTTTGCCTTCAAGAACAGCATCTGTTGCATACATGCCTCCCAATGATTTCATACATTATATGCAATAAGGTCAGTCTTGCAGCTGGTTCAGCTGCCATTCACCACACACAGCAACACAGCTTCCACGGGGCTTTCACCTACAGCTGGCACAGAGGCTATAACCAAGCTCCTCAGTCTAACACACCAGAGGATGTCCATTAGAAGAAAGAATCCAGCCAAGGCTTTCTAGATACATCCAGGCCAGGAAATCCTTGCCTGAATCTCCCATGTCTCTGTTTCCAAGTCCTGGATTTCTACTCTAGCAAAGAGCTGATGATTATTATTTATGATTTCTCCTAACAACAGTACGCTCAGCTGAACGTCTTTGCCTTGGAAAAAGAGTACTTTGGAAGAATAAGCGTCATCATCAGGGAGAAAAGTAGCTGTCTTCACAACACACTGCCCTTGCTCCTCTAAATTATGGCTCAATATGACATTTCAGGCCAAAGACTGGACACTAGAAGCATGTTATGAATCAGAAGTGAACCCATTTTTATTTGCTAAACAATACAAAACAGCTCCCCAGCTTCATAAGTGTTTTCTGCTCTCTTGATTTACCATGACCAAAGGCCATCTATATAGACGTATTTCATAACTTACACTTATCAGATTATTGCTTATCAAGAGGATCCTGGAGTTACAAGGCACCAGACTGACACAGCGATGTGCTATCTGCCATTGCAATGTAGAAACAGCAATGAAATATGCAGTGCAATGCAGGAGGAGTACTTACTACTTGACTAAGTAGGCATGACTAAGCATACGTGAAGAGTAAAATGATAAACATCTCGCACATTAACTGCTGGCTTCAGGACATTTTCTATGCTGACAAATAAAGGGCAAAGCCTCAGCCTGTAAGGTAAAGGCACTGTCTGCAGCTCCTGGAAGTGCCTTATGCAGCCACTGATGTGCACAGCCCTGCCAGGCTCCTCTGATCCCACCGCACTGCCACTGGCACTAACACAGCATCTCCCAGTTCAGATATTCAAGAGCTCCACCCTGATGACTAAGTTGCTTTCTGCCATCACTAATGTCTATTTGCTGCTTCACCCCTCCCCAAATCAATTCTCTTTCCTGAGCATTGTTGGATTTTGCTTCTGAGCTACTGAGGTTTAGCAGCTCCTTCAGCTGCTGGAGTTTCTGCAGCCCGTCAGAGGCCCTGGGGCTTTGCTGCAGAGAGCTTGGAGGCAGCCACACCAGCACCTGCAGCACACACTGGAATCACACAGAAAGGTGAAATCCTCCCAGTTAAACACTGTGCTCAAAACTGGTTATACAACGGGAACTGCGCATCACAGGTATTCAACAATACGCTCTCAGATGGCTTCACAGGCTAAATTCTATCCAGTTCTACATATTTCTATACTGACCAACAAGCACATTATACTTTTAAGTCACTAAATTTAATTTCCCTATAATATTTTTTAATTCCATCACGCTGAAATATCTCCCTAACCTAAATCTCTTAAAACCATTTTCTGCACCATCTTTATTCATAACCACGTTTTCTCCACTCCAACCACAGCCAGCGCTGCATATTCCTGACCTGGAGTTAAAATGATCTTTCTGTGGTCCCACAGTGTCATGAAATGAGAACTACAGCTTCACACCCTAGCACTGAGAGTGGACCAAGCTCCTGCTCTCCTTAAAAATCAGGGCAAGCTCTGTATCGGCTCCAATGAAACAAGAGTAACCTCGTTCTTCCATTTACCATTGTGTAAACAGCTTCCTGGTGATATTCCTTACGAACAGATTCAACAATCCAGAAGCAGCACCAGTAATCAGAAGATGATTAAACACATTTGGTAGGAATACACATTACTATTCCACAATCTCTCCCAAATTGTCTTCTAATTTATAGACTTCCAAAGTGCTCAAGCACGAGGACACGACACAATACAGACCCAAAACCAACTGCGTTTAACTTGACTGCAAATTGTTGTTTAGGTCACACCGAGCATCTCAAACTGCAATGCAAAGCAAGAGGCATGTACAGGAAAGCCCTTTACCTTGGTTTCTTTAGCACTGCTAGAACCCTTGCCCTCTGTTTTCTTCTGTTTGGAAGAGGAGCTGCCCTTACTGCCACCACTGCCCTCCTTGCCAAGGTTGCTGCTGGACTTCAGGGACGAGGACTGACTGATCGTCCTCTTCCGGGAGCCATGCTCTTGCTTGGCATCTTTCTGCAGGACTGGGGCAGCAGGAGACGGCAGCAAATCCTTCTCTTTAATAGCACTTGGCTTTGAGGACCTGGACCAAAGGAATAAATTCAGCTTTGGGGTTTCTTTCCTTAAAAAAAACCCAAAATGAAACCAACCAACCCCTGAAAACACCCCCCCACCACCCCAAAACCTTTTCTTTATTATTTTGAATACATCTATTACTTAAAACTGATACATTTTTTTAAACAAAGCAGATTTGTATTGTTTAACCTGGCAAAGCAGATATGGAGGGAAAGAAAGAGACTAATCATCCCGGTGAGTAGGTTCCTATGAAGCCAAAGCTAACCCGCTTTCCCCATCTCATTTGTTCTGACCTGAACACACAGCAGACAAGTTCTAACCATAAAACCACACCCCTCCAAGAGTTCTCCATAAAACATCCACCCTGAACACTTGGGGTGTAAGGAATGGATGCCAGCGTTAGCGCCAGGCTGTCTGTTCCCAACTCATCATCTAACAGCTCAGATAGAAGATGGTCCAGATAAATGTTCTCTGGAACCCAGGCACCTGGAAAGCTTTCTCATTGCAGCCTTTCAGTACACTCTTACTTGGCTGCTGAGGGCTAATGTTGGCTATTCCAGGCTTCCCATAACTGTTTCTACCGATTACCTTTGTAAGATCATAGAGTTTCATTTTGTTCTATGCCCTTCAAGATAACTGCACTGGCAGTCAAACAAGTATCAGAAATAACAGGTAAAAAAGCATAATCAAGCTAGAAATGCATCCACTTATTCTACATCTGTTTCCTAACAAATAGTAAGACACTGTTTAATTCAGAATGGGCAAACAAGCTTCCTAGCATCTGATGTGCTGCAGCTTCTCACATTATTTGTAATTTGGCCATTACTCACTATACAGAAACATTTTCCATGACAATTATACCAGTTTTCAGCCACTTGATCTGAAACAGCAGCTTGAAAAGGCAGTGGAAAAAACCCTTGCTTTTCCTGTGGAGTAACACTGACCAAGAAATACACAGCCTAACAGCTAGCCCAAAAAGCATGGGAATTTACAGACATAGCAAACAACTGAAGGAGGATTAATCAACGTTATTGAGTCGTTAATTCTGCATTACTTTGCTTTTGTGTAACTCACACTTTCTTCAGCTAATCTCTCAAGCAAACGTGAGGCTAAATCCACAGATCCAAATCTCAAAGCCATCAGCTTCCCATGTGTGCTGGTTTTAGCTTGGAAAGTTACTTTTCTTCCTAGCTGCTTTGGATTTAGTATGGGAATAACACTGATAACACATGGGTATTTCAGCTGCTGCTAAGTAGTGTTTACACCAAGTCAAGGACTTTGCAGCTTCTCACGCCCCAGCAGCGAGGAGGCTGCGGGCACAAGAGGCCAGGAGGGGATCCAGCCAGGACAGGAGGCCAAAGGAGCATCCCAGACCATATCACACCATGCCCAGTCTAGAAACCGGGGGGAATTGTTCAGGGAGACCTCAATCACTGCTTGGGGATGAGCTGGGTATCAGTCAGTGGGTGGCAAGCTCCTTCTTGTGCATCCCTTGGCTGGTTGTTTTTCCTTGAGTTATGTCTCCTTCCCTTTTGGTTATCTCCCTTTTCATTACAATTATTAGTATTTTACTTTATTTCAATTAATAAACTTCTCAATTCTCCTCCCCATCCCACTGGGAGATTGCAATGAGCCAGCAGCTGCCTGGTACTTAGCTGCCAGCTGGGGTTAAACCACATTTAAGCCAGTTAAGTAATTTATTTGCAGTTTACACTTGCCAAATGGGGAATTATCAGAGTGAGGTAATTTAAAAGCACAGATTTTGCATGATCAAAAAGCTGTTTTTTGGTGGAAATCTGCAGAAACAGCTGATTTCTAAAACAAAACAACCTCCAGCTGTATATTAGAGTAAAACCAGGAAGCACTGATTCCATAAGACACGAACCCTTCACCTGAGCAGTCACCTTGCTTCTGTTAAGTCAAACAACTGTCTATGGTCAATGTTTTTGGTTATGGAAATTTATTTCCAACAACTTCTAGGAGGAACTCTGAATTCTGTCTGAAGGGTAAGAAACAATGAAATGTTACCAACTGCTTCATAATGTGGAAACACATGGTGGGAAGAGGCAAGGAGGAGAGGGGAGAAAACAGGCACCCGTCTCCTTGATCACCCCGAGCCCTCAGTGGTGAAAACACAGCCGAGATACTCACTCCCTGCTGCTGGAAGTCTTGTGTCCTGATGGAGCTTTTTCTTCCAGTTTTGTTTTCTTGCTTTCACTGCCTCTGTTCTCATCCTCGTTCTGAGTAAAGCAAACAAGAAACAGATCCAGGCAAAGGTCCACAGTTACAGCCTCACTGACAGTGGCAATGTTGCATAAAGAGACTTAATTTAGCAGGTGTTTTGCAGTGTACAAGATAGGTACAGATGACAAGGATATGCCCTACAGCATCTACTCCATATCAAATATTAGACCAGACCCCAATACTGGAACATAACTGAAAACAAAGCCTGGATTCTGAATTCCCAACCTGCATAAAAGAATCAGCAGCCAAGCTGTTCATTTTAATACAGGCATGTTATCACCATGAACTACTGGAAGTACCAACACAGTGAATAAAGGTCTCCTTGAAAACACACATCCCAGTAAGTGGCCAAGTTTTCTTAGGTTGCTCAGTAGGAAAACTGGTTTAACTGAAATTATCCATCTCCTCTGGAGACTCAAACAACACTCTGAATGGTATCACAGAAACATGGAACCATGAAATGTTTGGGCTTGAAAGGGACCTTAAAGCTCCTCCAGCTCCAGCCCCTGCCACGGGCAGGGACCCCTTCCACTAAAGCAGCTTGCTCCAAGCCCCTGTGTCCAACCTGGCCTTGAACACTGCCAGGGATGGGGCAGCCACAGCTTCTCTGGGCACCCTGTGCCAGCGCCTCAGCACCCTCACAGGGAAGAACACAACCACGTAATCCTCTGATTCCAGATGTCAACAGTCTCACAACCACTGACAAATCCCTGCCAGAATGAAATATTCAGGATGAAATCCCATTTCTGACCCCCCGAGCCAGGCCTGCACAGTGCTGACTGCATGGAAACCAGGAACCTGTAAACATTTATTGGATCACTGAGTCCCTCTGACAGGTCTGCTCTTATACAGACTGTCTGAGGTTTCTAAAAGCAGTTTAAGATGACACTGCCAACTTCTTCTCACCATTCCCCCCTCTCAAGAGTATCACTTCTATTCAGCTCCCCATCGATTCCTGTGCATTCACTGCCCCCAGGCACCCCTGCTATTTATTTAGAGGTGAAAAGATGAAATGTTTTTTTGCAAAATATTAACTATCATTATGGAGAGATCCCCCTGCTCCCAGTAGAGCAGCACCCCTGAGATCACAGTTTCTGCTGCAGCCATGCCCCAGGCCCATTTCTGCACCATCTCTTGTCCTGGCACTATGCAGCTGCATGATTCACTGGCTCACGGAGCTGATCCAGCTTTCACCTTTTTCTTGGCCAGGTGAATTTTCCATTGGATCAGCTGCCTGAGGTGGCCTGCAGTGCACCAGGGGCTGTGCCAGATCAAGTGGAGGCATGAGAGGGCAGGATGCAGCAGCGTTCACAGGTACAGAAGCTGTGCTACCTCCATGAGCTCCAGCTGCAAGTGCAACCTTCTCCCTTCCCCTTTTCACTCCAAAGGAAAATCCCAACAGTCTCTACCACCACAGGGATGATCCATGTGTTCTACACAACACAAAACCATCCCCTAAACTGCTTAGTCACCGCACTGAGGTACAAACTGCATTACTAGGCTATGTGTGTGTGACACCAGCAGCGATGCCCTAAGGGGCTAAGGCACAGGCAAATCTCTCCCCAACAAAATCATCACCTGCTTGTGTTTCCTTTTGCCTTTTGTAGAACTCTTGTCAGACGGCTGCTTCTGGGATTCTCTCGTGTGCTTCTCTGGCACGGGTTTCTTTTCCACTTTGGGTGCGTCAGCATCCTTGTAAGGCTTCCCTGGTATTCTTGATAAGAGGCTCAGGTCAATCTTCACAACGAGTGGGTACCTTTCATCAGGATCACTGAGTGGTGAAAGAAGCTCTTTCTCTTCCATAGGAGAGAACATTCTTTGCCGAAAAAAGCTGTCATCCTCCTCCATGGAAGATTTAACAGGAGTCCTATTGCTCTCAGAATATTTGGGTGTTTGTGAGGAAGGAGGCAGGCTCTCGTTTTCATCTGAATCAGAGGATGAGGTATCTGTTTCTATGAATTCCCTGGATTTCTGGGCAGATTTGCTTGAAGCCTTGTATTTCTTTTTCTCTGTTGTAGGCCGAGGGGAAGATTTGGGCTCTTTCTTTATATTGGGTTTTCTGGAGCCTTTTGTGGCTGCCTTATGCCTGTTGGAAGGGATATTTGTTGCCATGTCTACTGGGGTTTCACTTTCTATTTTAAGACCTCCTCTAGGCTCTTCAACAGATGTCTTTTCTGCTTTCTTGGGCTGCTTTTTACCTACAGTCCTCCTCTGTGTTGAGCTGTCACTCTGGGCAGGTGATTTCTGCCTGCCACGACTGCCCTCCGAGCCCTTTTGGGTGGGTTTGGAATCTCGCCCCGGGGTAGAGGAAATGGAATCCTTGGATCCACTTTGATCAGTGTATCCGCTCCCTGTGCCCTGATCCCGTCCCTCCTTTTTATAGCCTTGGGAAGATGGAATATTGCTGTCCACGGAAGAAGCTGGTGATACTTTGTGTGAATTGACTTTGTTCAACCAGTTATCCAGTTGCCACTTGTTTGTTGGTGGTGGCTCTGGCTAAAAAACAAACAAAAACCCCAGTGTTAAATAAAGTATTTCACATTTCTCCCATCTTTCCCATGGCACAGCTGTAAGATGCTGCAGGCCAAACAAGAGGTACACCAGAATAACAGAGATAAACAAGGAATGAGATAGGTTGATGAATATAGGTATAAATAACAGCTCTTCTTTTCCCTTCCTCTGGAGCAGCTGCTAGCAACAGGCAGTATTTGCTGCCATGGCTTTCCACGCTAAAAGCCTGCAGCTTCTTAGGGTGCTGTTACCATATCTGACTTCTGCTCCCCAACAGGTAATTGGTGGCAAAAAGCACCTCAAATTCAAACCTCAAATGCGTGCTTATGTAGAGAACCGTTACCATATCCAACCACCGGTACTTCAGCAAAAGAATAGTTCACCTTGAAAATGATCCCATGATTTTAGTACTCTTTTCTGCTTTTAAAACTCAGGATTAATGCCCAGCCAATGAAGAGAGCCCAAATCCATGTCAAACCCTACCTCGGGGGATGCGCTCTGGGATGGTTCATTAGCTTCACTGTCACTGGAACTGCTTTCACTTTCAGAGTCAGATCCTGAACTGCTTTCAGATCCACTATGGCTGCTCGAGTCATCCCGTGAATTATCTGCTCCTTCACTGTTATGCTGTGAAGGTTCAGAGTTACTGAAACCAAAAATGAGGGAAAATTAACAAACACCACCCAAGGCACAAACAGATCCCAGAATTCTTGCATTAGAAACAATAAAATGCAGTATTTTAATCAACATTTACGAGAAAATTCAACATAACTGAGCACAGCTCACGCTGGAACAAACACCAGTCTTTGTTTCTCCCCTTCCCAAAGCGGTTAGTGTAGTTAGCAGCATCTATGCTATTTAATCACCAATCCAATTCTCATTGCCTTTTGCTTTAACACAAGATGAAACCCAGACATGAATCTCAGAAGTCGGGAGTGCTGACAGTGCTGAACATCACCACTCTGCTCTCCCTGCGCAATGCAGCAGGAATGCCTACCTTCCAGGTGTGCTCCTTGGCACTGTCTTATCACAGTCCTGCAATCAAGAAAAGGAGCGTGAAACTTCCAGAAGTTATTTAGGATTGTACATACACTTCAGTTGCAAAGCATCAACTTAGAGCCTTCACAGCATCTTAATTCAGTGCTTACTGCAGTGTAAATTTGTCTGCATTTTCCTTATACAGAAAACCAGAGTTATTTTCTCCAAGTTTTCACCACAATCTATCATCTCGGAGTCCCATATATTCCGACTGCAGTTCTAAGAGCTCCTATTTCCACCACTCACTACGTTTTCATCTTTTTGAAGGAGCTGGTTCAATGTATTACAACATATCCCCAAATGCCAGAGTAGCAGGAATTAACCAACTGAATGTACTATGTCAGGGTCTTCCGCATGAAGAAAATCAAGTACTAGAGCTGGGAACAGGCAGCAAAAGAGCAGGAGAGGAGTGTGGCTCACTGCAGGGTAGCACAGACCCTCCAGGGACTGTTCATTTAGCTAAATGCCATTTCTGGCAGAAGCTGCACCAAGTTAATATTGAGAAAGAGGAGAAAAGGGACTTTTCAACAAAATAAAGGTGCTGCCATATACTCCTGGTGACAGATAAAGCATCCCTTATTATCCCAAACTACTAATATGCAGAGAAGTTTATACCATGTACTCTTTAGCTGGAGTGGCAGAGCATGAAAGGGTCTACCTTTAAATGGTGGGCCACCCCATATGTTTAAAGCACACTATTGTCATTTTATGTTCAGAGAAAGCCCACCTGAAGTCAGTAAAACAAGATTTTCTAAATCCAAGCATACTGTTTCCACAAACCAGGTAATTTTCCCCAAGTTTACATTTAGGAGGTTTGTCTAAAAACATTCCATTTGGTTTTTAATCACAAACCTCTTCTTAAGCCGCCCAGTTTGCTGGTGGAATATTGAATACTGCTCTACTTCGGAAGCTCTGACTGAAGGAACATACCTGCTCTCCATCGCTGTCTTCGCTACTGCTAAGTTTTAAGTCATCTTTCAACATACTAAGTAAAAGGGAGAAAGTGAGACAAGTTTTTCCATGTACTTTAATTACTTTCAAAGCATTCTTCTATATTTCAACATGCTATTGTTTATACTACAGAGCAGGCTGCGTGGGTGAAATCCACAAGACACCATTCTAGCATTTAACGTTCAAGAATGGTGAGTTTAGTCATTCTCTGGAGAAGAATAAGGATTCTGGGACTGAGACTCCTCAGTCCATTCTGGTCAATTCAGAAAGGAAATTTGACACAATTTACTGATGCAGGAGGAGTTAACTTACAGACAATGGCCAGGAATATTGTTTTAAATAGAATGAAGAAAGCTAACACTAGGGGCTGTTTCCTGTCTCATGGCAACACTGCGACTGTTGTAAGCCATAATTACTATTATTCAAAGCCATCATTATCGATGGTAGTCATACATGCACACACTGTTTCACAACACAAAATAGGTGAACACACTGAAAACGCCAAGCAAGACTACAGGGCTTTTGTGCTTATTGAAACCCCCCCGGATTACAGAAACGAAACATCTTACTCTGTCTGGTTCGATTCGCATCTGGAAAAAGAAAAGGAGAAAGGATCAGAAGTGTAACACATCCGGGTTTCACAGCCCAGCTGCTCTACTGGTGATCTGAAAAGGAACACCAGCCTCTAGCATCTAGTTCTGAAACGTTTCATTGCTATCCCTCTACAAAAGATGCATTTCTCCCCTTTTTAAAGTTCTTGTGACCAGCTCACAACCACTGAGGAGGGTTTATTGATTTAAAACTGGATTGTCACAGGAAACATCATCTCAGCTTTCTTCCTGCACATCCCAGTCCAAGACCAATTCTTGTTCTCATAGCCCCCAGCTCGGGAATAGCACAACTCCTTCTTGGTCTATACTGCTGTGACAGAAGCAAAGCCAAATGGTGAACTTGTATTTCCACCATTCATTGAACTGGTTACAGGTGAGCATCTTAAACAAACTGACTGTATGTCTACAGTAACTCAGGGGGGTTCTTTTTGTTCTATTCCCTTCTTATAGGCTTTTTAGTCTTGCTAACACCGTAACATGCATACAGACAAGCAGAACTAGACTTCATCTGTGGCTGCATCACAACAAGTACTAGTTTAGTTTTCAGAATCTACAAACACTCTCCTTAAACATACAATCAGCTGCTAATCATTGACTTTCTTTGCCGTATTTGTTTGGAAACAATCTTTTAACAGCTTGTATTGAATTCCAGGTGTGAGAAAGGTGCACTACAGCCATCTAGAATATTCCACCTGCCTTTTTAATTCCAGTTCATGCTTGACAAAGTAAAACATTGGGTCTGTGTGTAACTAATGGAAATGTCTGTCAGTTCAGACATTGAGCAGGACAAACTCAACCAGATCCCAAACGCACTTTACTGTCTCCTCCAGTACAAACCAGTTCCCACCCTGTCTATCTGTGTTGTCACCACAAGCTGCTTCCAGCTGACAGCTCTGCAATGCACACGTTTGGGAAGTCCTGTCCCATCCTGCCCATTCCTACGTGCTGACGCCACTGCGGTTCCCAAGCTGACTCCAAGGTCCATGCTCTTGCACATTTACCCTGACAACTGACAAGAAGGCAGGGGAATGGAGAGGCAGCACAGGATGTGTGTTACTCACTCCAGTGAGCAATCCTTGGTCTAATGTCCCAGAAAATGGCTGCTTAACCATGATCCCCTTTTTGTGCCAGTCAAGCAGAAGTATGTGAAAGTGTCTGTGCAAGAGCTGACACATCCTAGTGAAAGAAACTGCTATCGTCCAAGTCCCTTAAGATCCAGCTATTGTTTGTGAAAGGTTTTCTCAGCAGCCACTTACGCTTTGGACTGGTGACCATTGGATGTTTTCGATGAAGGATTGTAACGTTCTAGAAGAAGAAAAAGAAGAAAGGCAACGTGAAAACTCAGCCAGCAAAACAAGGCACTCCAAAGCTGCCAAGAGGATACAGACAGAGAGAAACCAGGAAGAGCTGAGTAGACAGGAGAAAGTAGTAACTCACTGACACAAGGTACAATCTCCAACAAACCAAAAGGAACAGAGAAGTGAGTGGATACAGAGACAGAATACTAAATACAGCAAATATGAATCAAGAAACTCTAGAAAATGATGTAAATCATTGTTGCCTGAGCCAACGCACAATTTGTTACTGATGGTGTGAAAGCTGTTTTGTTTCTATCAAGATTAATTTCTTGCCTTTGACATGCAGGATACAGGATGTAAATCAGCCTGTCCCTACGCAGCTTGTCAGTAAATGACCAGCCTTCACATCCAGAAATCAAAGTCAGAAGGCAGTTCTTAAGGCAGCAATACACCCGAATGTGATCTGCTTTTTGGGCTGGGGCTTTTTTCCTTCCCTTTTCTTTAGTTCTGGCAAATAGCTAAGGGTAGAACAGAAACTAGAACTGAGGCTGTCAAAAGCTTCCCAGAGAATTCAAACGGGAGTTGAAAACTGGCGCTGGGTTTTGATTAACCATGCCTCATCACTCACAGCCCTAAAGATCAGTTGCTCCTCTAACAAAGTCTGTGGTTTAGGTTTCTGGATTTGAGTTATTTCCTTCATTTCCCACGGTAATAGGTGTTCAGATTAAGCTGCATGGGAATATCTAAGAATAAACCATTCCTCTTTTACTATTTAATCTGTTTAATCACTTCCAGAGGAAGTGGGAAGACCTTTGGAAGGGAACAGTGAAAATCTAATTCAAGTTTAGCTGGTAGTTACCTGTGCTGTTATTAACTCCAGTAATATTTGAAACAATGATAAAGAGAACTTAAAGCTGCTTTTGTCTGAAATCTGAAAGTGCATTTTGGGGCATGAAATTCAATGTTATTACTGAGCCTATCACTGTGTGAGCTCCTCTCCAGTCCTCGCTTTTGCTTTTAAAACAACAGAGTGAAAACAAACAGCGAGGCTGCAATGTAAGCACGAGCCCTATCTCGGTTTCCAGCGTATCTCCAAGCAGGCAGCTGGCTTTTTTACAGGGTGTTTTGGTTCAGGACTCTGCTATTTTCAGTCCGATGAAGCACAGAGGGAGGCATTTTCTCCAGAATTAGAACAAATGACAAATTAAAACCACTATTTTTTTCCCTAGAAGACAATAACAACCTTGCAACTCAGTTACAGCTTTCTTGATCACAACAGAACCGTGACACAGAAGCAAGCAATTGTTCAAGAGGTTAAAACCTGAGAAAGTAAAGAAACTCTTAACTTCGACTCCATCCTGACACCAGTCTGGGAAGTCTCATTCCCTAAAGAGCAGGAGGTGCTGAGAAAAGTGAATCACAACCAAATCACTGAACATATTACAGGAAGTTTCGTATACTTACTCTGCTCCCCCGCTCCAAAGCTGGGCTGCTGAGACTCCTAAGGGAATAAAAGATCACAAGTGGGTTTTCATTGGGAATTTTAACACATCAAAAGCCATGCTGGAAGCAAGCTGCTCTTTCAACTGAAAGGATGGCACCCAACCCCTGCAGAAAACACCCAGTGATACAGGAGGGATTTGTTATCTGGGCCCCAGCACCTCTCACCAGCCCTCATGGGAAGGAACACTTCCAACCCCTCTTCCTCAGGACAGCTTTCTCACTTGCTTAGCTTTAAGAAGGGCCACATGCAGTTGTATTAGATGATAGCCGAAAGCCAGAACCCCTACATAACATCCATAAACCCCATGTTCATGTTTGCAAGGAGAGGAGCTCTTCAGTGGCTTTTTCTTTATCTTTCTTATACACAGACAAGCTTTGCTGCTGGTTTTACGTGTTTTCACCTGAACTCCAAGCCAGTCCTGGCAAACACAGCCCAGCAGAGCTGGCTGCCATGTCATTCCTCCCTGCAAAGGCCACGTCTTCATGTGACTGGACAAGTCACTTGTACAGAAGCCAGTAAACAAGGACATGCAGCTTCCTTTGGTATATAATGAATCTATTACCTGTAAATCAAGCCATGGAAGATAAAGCCTTGCGAACGTTAGCACTTGTGTAACTGCTTTCTGAAACCCTACAATACTGTTTCGACAAACAAATACGCAGAGGCTACTGAGTTACTGAAAACCTACTTCTAGGCTCGAGTGCCCTTTTAAAATAGGACCTTCCTGACCTCATTTTAAAATGGGGACAAATGCTGGCCCCATAAATCTAACTCGAAAATCTTTGGCTCAATTCATGATGTTATACACACACTTCTTGCTTAAATGCCCTGGCAGTGGCAAATCAGAACTGCAACTCAACAATGAATCCCAGGATTTGTGGTAAAGCTGTGACCCAGTTTTCCCAACCAGCCGAGGCAGTGACATGCAGCAGTTACAGGCACGCTTTACAAAATCTGGCTTTTTAAACACACAAAAGCTTTCTCTGCACAGCAAAGCTCACTTGGGTATTTCTTGTTTCCCCCAGCTTTTTCTTTCAAGCGTGACAGCAGTTGCAATAATGCACTCAAGTAGTTTGTTGATAGGGAACTTGATTGGGAACTTTCCTTGTAATAAGGGGTTGCAAACGCCTCTAATCTTTACTAACTGAAAGGAAGGGGCAATGAAAGTAAAATCAACCTGCAAAGTGAAGCTGCTTGGAGGGAAGCCTTGGGACTTCAATGGAAAGCAAAAGCTACGCTTCCTTCAGAACAAAACCTGATTGTCACCCGTTACATAGATACAAAGAGTGCAAGCACAACTCCCTGACTGCCTTTTTCCACTGTCACCTTCGAGAAGTTGACAAGCTCCAAGTCAAAAAAGAGGTTAAGAGCACACGGTGGTCAAACCCCACATCTATGGAGCAACTGCACTGGGTGAGCACAGGAGGAGGAACGGGCCCTGCTCCTACCAGTACATGTATCACAAACCCTGCAGCAAACACCTGCCTAATTGCTCGCTGGAGTCAACTTCCCATTTCTAAGGCACAGAGCAGCCTTTCAGTGAAGTGAGCTTTAACGAGGTGTTATGTTGAGATGTGCAACTTTTTCCAACTCTCTCGCCATCCATTTTGCCTTTGAATAAATATTTCTTTAAGAAACGCAGAGATTTAAGAAAACAAAAGCTCTCCTTTCAACTCCAGTTATTTATAGCTGCACATTCTAAAGGCCCGCTTCACAAAGAAGACATTAAAAACAACTTAAAGGAAGGAAACCCTTTTAACCAAAGTATAATAGACTGCTGAGGTTTGACTTCGACAGGGAAGACGCTTAAGCAGGAAACAAAAACTGACACAAGAACTGTGGAGAGAAAAGCATTGGCCAATGGGACAGGATGGCCGTGGGGTACCGAGCTCTCATTCGCAGGTTACCAGCTTGGCCAGAGCCCCAGTTTCCATTTAATGCTAGAAATCTGAGGTCAGGTCTCATTTCTGTTTCTCAGATGTTCCTGTATTGCAGAAGTTTGAGGCCTCTGCAGTAACTCCAACAAGAGCAGGCGCTGAATAAACCTGGAGACAGGGTCCCCATCTCCAGAGATGCCTCCGAGTCACTGCTTGGGTCTGCAGGGACAAAATCTTGCCAATCCTGTCACATTGCTTTGAAACAGACAACTTCCACCCTCTAACAAGCAGCTGGGTTTAACCTATCTTACAAACATGCCCATGTCTCTGGAGGTTTTCACTGCGAGCCCATGGCTTAATAAAGTTGCACAGGACAAAATGATAGCCTTGGGTCACCGGTAACACTTTTTATCAAGACTCAGGAATCTCCATTTTCTGCATAAACCCTCCCCTGACCTATTTTCATGAAGTTTTATCTCCTGATTCAAAGACTTCCTGACAACTGTTAGATATATTTATAGTAACCAGAGAGGCCCCAGTCAGTTCCTTCAAGCTACTCACTATCTACACGTAGGGAAAACGATCCTATCCCAACAGTCTTAGCAGAAAATCAACTGCTTCACCAAAGGGAGCTGAATTCTGTGTGCAGGCAAAACACACCAAAGTTCTGCCCACAAGAGGAATGCTGTGAAATACTTGAGCACATTACTTGCCAATGAAGTGAGTGCAGTATCACAGAGAATGAGCTTGCCCCGAACAGTACTGCTTGATTAAAGCAAACCACTGTCCTGTTTTGCTTTCTGAATCCTGCTCTGGGTCCAGACTGCACAAGCCTATGGCTCGCTAACTCACTGGAATCCTGCAAAGATGCTGCTGCCAAGAATGACAGAGGGGAAAGGCAGAGGAAATTATAGGCTTTGGATGCTGAGAGAGAATCTGACAGAGCTGCACGGCTAAGATGTGCAGCCACAAAATGAAAAAGCTGGCGCAAAGTCAGAAGACTCCGAGCAGCCATAAATGGAATGCCTTGCACACGGGGTGAAGCAGCACAATCCGGGTTGATCGCTTCAAAACCCCACAACCTACCTTTTTTGTTCAAACATTAATGACACCGTGCAATCTTACGTGGCTTCTCTCTGCATCGCAGAGACACGTTTACTGCTGCACACCTCCCGTCTTCCCAAACTGAGGCAAATACCAGAGAAACGCAGACAAAAGCAGTTCTAGCAAATGGACTGAAGAGAGTGAAGGGGAGCATTTCCCTGAAGGTTCAGGAATAAATATCCAAAGCAGTGAAGTACCTCTGTCGATGAGGAAAGACGTGGCATTTCTTTCTTTTACAATAAAGGTTAAGAACTATTTCAGGTGCAGTTTTATGTCACGCAGCAACTAAACCCTGACTGAAGGTAATATATGCAAGATTTATATTGATCTACTGTTAAGAAAACAGACAAGGAGATTTATTTCTAGATATGCCTTCAAAAGGAAGGCTGAGAACTCTATGGCTTGTTCTCCATTTTCAGTTCATTGGAGAGAAGCGAGGAAGACAGAACATGCAATGCAAATGGTGATGACTCCAGGACTGCCCATAGCTCTGGAGTATTACCCAGCACAGGAACCTGAACTGTTTAACTGAGCACCAGGCTGTGGGAGTTTTGTGGATGTGCACTTACAATGGGAGACCTGGAACCTTTGGCTGAAAGAAGCTGGTGTCGAAGCAGTCACATAAAACAATCGGTTCAGACAGATTACATTAAAGGCCTCAATGAGAGAATCTTCCTAAAGTACCTTAGTGAACTGTTCTGTTTTGGGGAGTAATTTGCTTCCAAGAGGAAGCTGAGAGCAGCAAGCGATGCTCTAGAGCAGCAGTCTGGCCAGGAAAAGGGTAGTCTTAATTATTCTGAAGACAAACAGTGTAATTTCTTCACTCTGAAGTTATGCCAAGTTAGGGGTGGAGTACCCCAATCCATCTCAGATATGTTGAGTCTGGAATAAAACTATTATTGAGTTCAATCCTGCTCTGGTAATCAGCAAATACAGGAAACAAACCATGAAGTCTTGGATGAGTCAGCCAGTGCAAGCTGAGCTGTTCTTGCAGAAGTCGCTACCCCCAGCTATCTGCCCTGCCTACCCAGCAGCTTCCAGGCGCTGCAGACAGCAGAGCTGGATCTGAAGGCAAATCATTACCAGAGCTTGTCTGCTGGGAAACCCTGGAGCTGGGGCTGCTGACCTGGCCCCAGGGGAGGCAGCAAGCAGCCAGCAAGAGAACTCCTTCCTCAGAGGTGTCAGCTCCAGCAGGTCTCCTGGAAACGTGCCCTGTGCTGTCAACAGCAGCAAAGAACAACTGATTTCTCGTTAGAATTAATAGCTTAAACACATCGGTAGTTACCCAGTACATGGGAGGTTGGGGAGGGATCTTCTGGAAGCATCTGAAAATTTCTTTAGCAAAACATCTGATTTTTAAACTGTTCTAGTCATATTCTTGGTAACTGAAAATGTAAGACCTAACAGCACTATTAAAGGGTTTCAAAATGATGAGGAAAATTCAGTTTATGTGGAAAAGTACATTGAAATTTCTTAGCATTTACTCTACCAGATGGAGACAAACATGCTTGCTTGGTTCGACACAAAATGGTGCAAAGATTCCCTACAGGGAAAAAGGCTCAATGGCATTTTCAAGCTTCACAAGCATCCTGAAGAAGGTTTGAATTTATGAAACTAAAAGTAAAATGAAAGTTCTATTACTGACATCCCTGCTCACTGCTCTGGGTGTGTGAAGCAGAGGAAAACCAATGGCATTCTTCATAAGGCTACTGCTGACCGATGTTGTGAAGCAAGATAAAAGAGATACAAAGCACTGAAACAAAGCCAGAACTATAAAGAATTGAACTTAAGAGAGTTCCAAAACCCTGCTCTTTAACAAGAGTTACTCTTTCAACAGCATTCAGCGTTTGGCTACAGCACTGACCTTTGTTGGAAAAGGAAATTTTGACGGTTCAGTTTTGCATGGTGTATGAATAGCAGTCAGTGGAGGAGGCCAAGAATGGGTCATCTCCTACAACCAGAACAAAAAAGGAAAGCTATTAACAAAAATTAAAGCAAAGATTTCAAGTTACAGTCTTGACTCAATTGGTAACCCTGCCTCTCGATTTCCAGCTCACTGTCCACACTTCACTAAGCTTTATTTGCCGAACAGGTAACAAAGATTCTGCACGTAAAGCTAAATTTTAAATTGCTATCTATGAGAACGGCGAGTCAAGACATAATAACAAGCAGAAAGCATAATCAATAAAATGGATTGGCCTGAACATAAACTGCAGCAGAAGGCAGAGTCTGATCAATTCAGACTGTGAAGAGAACATGGAGGATGCAGGGGTAGAAAGAAGAATCCTAGGAAAGGGAAACCTATGAAGTTTGAGGAGAAAAGGGGAAAATCAAATGCCTGAAGCAGGAAAGTGTTCTCTCAGGGTGTCTCCAAGGACCATGGAGTAAACACATGACATGAAGACTCGAGAAAATAACCCGGGTAGAAGAGAAGGTAAAGCTCTGCCATGGGTACCAGAAGAATTACTATAATCTGAAAGATATGAGGGACTCTATTTTGGGGGAAGAAATGGGCAATTCTGGTTAACAGGGAGGTGGCCTGCAAGAACAGGAATGCAGTGAGGATATCCAGGAGATGATGTGCACACCCAGCATTGCCCAGAGCCCAGCTTCGCTTTCAGTCTTCCCCAGCCAACCTATGCTAGAGGAGTAATTGAAGAGCCCTCCTGTAATGACTTGAAGCCAGGTCGATTTAAAAGGCACTATTCAACTGCTGAGTACTTTCCACCTCCTTAGGAACATTTGTATTCTGAGCAAGTAAGTTAGGAACAAAAGCACAGAGGACTTACTTTTAGAATCTCATCCACGCAGCTCACCTCACCAGATGCTGATGCCTACAAATCAAAAGTCAGGGTTAACATCTCCCAAAACAAATCTTCCTTAAAAGATCCCAGGGGCTAGAAACAGTTAAAAATAAACTTCAATGCTTGGCATGATTCATATGGACCCTAGATACAAACAGACCGTGCTAATTCTTTTCATCAACATTAATTTTAGTCTCAGATAGATCCATATTTTCACGGTATGAGTCACAGCCAGTTATGAAAATCAAATACGTGAGATCTTGAAAGCTGTGACAATATTCTCTTACTTTTCACTTGACAGTTAAAGAGATCACAGCCTGTCAGTGCTATTAAAAACTTGTGGAGAGAGAGGAAGGGGAACCATACAAAGCTTTCCATCATTTCCTGGAAGAAGCCAGGGGTAATATCTGAACTCAAATGCATGACCACGAACACACAGTCATGACGAACTGCATTACGAAGTCAAACTGAATCACAGCCTGAATCTAGAAACAGCAATAATTATGACACTATAAGCCTCCTGCCCCCTGACTGCTACAAGCAGAAGGAAGCAAAGCAACGACACCATTCACTGCACCAGCATTAGCATGTCAAGTCTTCACAAATAACAAATTCATTTCTTTTCCCATTCTCTTCCCCATGTCCTGGATCTTACTTGGCTATCTGCTGAAGTCCCAAGGAAGGCTCTCCTCTAGCTCAATTCTCTACCATAATTCAAGCAGTTAAACAGGAGAGGCAATGACACTTCTATTAAGAAAGGCACTTTCCTTGTCAGTGAGCTGCACTCAGTCTGTGCCTTAACCACTCAAGAATTCCCAAGCTGCTAAAAGCTGCCAATCCAATAGTATTTTGTATCCAGCATAACTGATAAACGTTCTGAACCCTGGTCAATTCAGTGTGCTTTAGGGTTTGCTTATTTTCCCTAGGTGAAGGTTAAGGATCGTATCTAGTAATTGTTACACACTTCAAAAGGAAACCTGATAGACACAGACAGTATCACCAGTCTAAGGCAACGGGGCTCCCAGAAACAACGTATGTATCTAACCTGGCAAAACAGTTATAAATATCCCACTATTTCCCTACCTTCTGACTACAGAAATACTCCATGAAGATTAGCTTCTCTGCTAAGTCAGCCTTTCTCAGTGTCTCAGAGCCTTTACTGAATAAAAATCACAGTACCCACATGGAAGCAGCACAAAGAAAATGCAATTATTTTTGTGCATTCCTCTGTTAAAATCCAGTTCTTCACTGCCTAAGTTTAAGATGGTTCATGTAGCAACAAACCCAGAGTTTACTAAAAACTAAATCTTTGTTATGCAGATGGGGATTTTAAAGATGCTGCAAAATCCCAGCCCAAAGGGACTCACATTCGAGAAGCCAGGAAGCCAACAGCAACTTACCTCTAGCGGCTGAGAAGGGATTTTCAGCTTGGTTAGATGTGCTTTGCTGTTAGGCTTCAGCTCATTCACCCCGCTGCTGTGAGTCTGGCTACTGTAGTGTTCGGAAGATAACTTTGGTTCCATGGATTCCTGCCCATCCATTGGCCTTACGTATGCTGTGGGTTTCTGCAACATTGAACTGGACTTGGACATTAGTGAAGGTGGAAAAGACTGATTAGAGTGTTGTCCACTCGAAAATGAGGGTACACGAGAGGGAGAGTCCCAGTTGGCATCAGGATCCCGGGGAGACTTGGAACGTTGATGTTCTTTACTGTGGTGATCACTTCCATGAGATCTCGAATGGCTGGAGCTCAACGAGGGAACAGCAGATGGTTTTCCAGGGCTGGAAGAACGTGGTTTGGAGTGTTCAGACCCATGCTGGCTTTTTTTGCGGCTGCTGCTGCTACTGTAGGAGTCACGGTCGTGCCTCTGGCTGCTGCTGCCGCTGTTATTGCCACTGCCGCGCTGAGCACTGTGCCCACTCTGTAAACCTGAGGACCGCTTCTGGGATTGTGAGGAAGTGCTAGGTGCTGGTCCTACAGGAGTCCATTTACTGCTCTGATGGGAGCTGGGATTATGTCTCTGATCACCAAAGTAGCTTTGGTTTGCTTTGTCATCTGGTGCCGATGGTACGGTCGGTTTGGGGATTCCAACAAGCTTTTGTACTGAGCGGTCTCCTATAAGATCATCCATTTCATCATAATTACCAAGCATGCTCTGAATCCGACTGGACAACTTGTCTTCCTTGCTGGTCTGCGGAAAGAATTGGAACAAACAATGCTTTAAAAAAGTCACAACTTCACGTTCAGTTCATTGATTTGACAGCTACTGCAGTTAAACTGAATGTCAGGGCTAAGAACACGGCTAATATCAGCCTTTTTCTGCCATTCTTTCTAAATCCCCATTTTAGTTCTTAAAGCAGTAATTTAACTCCCTAAAACATAAGGAAAATATGTACTTCAGCAGCAGGAGCAGCTGAAACAGCACTGGTCACTGCTTCAAATACTGCACTGGTGAGCCGGATGCAAGTTTAGAATCTGTACGTGCCTCCTGTCGCCTTAAAGACTATTTCTCTATCAGAGAACGCAGCAGTCCTAAAAGCTTTTAATTAACAGTAAAATAAAATCGGCTTAACCTCAGCTCTGTATTGCATTTTTAATTGCTATTTATCCTGGCATAATTCTTGTTGCCAACAGTTGGAAGGGTTCTTTCTTACATAAGCAGTTTGGTTTCCAAATGAGGTACACTGCACTGCTACCCATGCATCCCAACCAGCTCCAGTTAACTTCATACGTGTGGGATTTGGTTATCAAGCACAGAATACCTAAATATAATCTGAAATGGTTCTTTTTTAGCTAGCCCAGATTTAGGTTATTTTTTCCAGCTCTGTTCAGCAAAGCAGGCCTGGGAGGAAACCCAGCACAGGCTTAAAGCTGTACAAGCTCAGGGTCAACTCCTTCAAAACAAACTGGAAAATCAGATCCAAACTCCTGGCCTATAGTTACAGCTGATAACTCTGTCACACCAGGCATTTCAGCATCTAAAATTAACCTCCTATTTAAACATTCTCTTTCTGAACTTACCCAGGTCTGGGTTACATTGCCTGAAGGTTAGAAAGTTTAGCAACAGGTTAACGCACCCCAAAAGCAGCAATTTGGTAGAACACAATGGACAGTTTAATTGCTCTGAATCACTGTGGCAAAAGCTGAAGAAAGGGGAAGAAATCTATGGGTTTATCATTCCTTTTCTCACTCCCTACAAAGCAGCCACCCCTTTGCAGATTAGATACTAAATCTGCCAGCAGGGCTGGTTAGTAACCGTCCATCCTCGTTTTCAAGCCCTGCTTAAACAGTTGGTGTATGTAAGAGCTGTGGATCTAAGGAGACAACAGGTAAAAACGAATTCAGAATACGAGGTTGCTTTAGGAGCTGTGCACACACTCACAACTTTGTAGGGTTCAGCAAAGAGAGGAGAGTTGGGTGGGAAGGCTTCTTCACCCTGCTGAATCTCTTGATTTCGCCTTTCCCTTTCTTTCATTCGCAGCACATTCCGGTCTTCACGGTTCATGTTGCTGCAGACAAACAGAGAATCGCTGATCACTGAAGGGAAGGGGAGGGATGGGAGAGCACAAGTGAGCCCCGGGACCTGCTCTGCCCAGAGACTGACCGCATTGAGGAACCCCGCACTGACCTCACTCCTGTCCAGGTTAAGGCACTTCACGCTTAGGGGAGCTGTAGCCCACAACCTGCAGCTCACAACGGACAGGGAAAGTTCATGCAGGAATACAAAGAGTGAAAAAACCTCACAAAGTCCTCAGGCAAGAAGCCATTTCACCTGCTTGAATCAGTTAGCTATTCCAGCCCACGCTGTACATCTCCCATTCATCTCCAAAGCACTTCTGCTCCTCCACATCCCCCAGATGTTCTGAATTTTACTCCCTTCTCCCCCCACCCATCCAGTGCCTGATCTCTGCTGTAGATTTAGTTTATTTTTGCTGCTGACATACATTTATTGGCACCCATTCACCCACAGCTCCTAACCTCAAGCTTTGATGTTGTTTCCAGGTCTCCCTTCCTCCCTAAAGACCTTTCCACCCAAAGCAATAATTTCAGGGCAGCTCTGGCAATACTGCACATTCTGCCTTAGACCATACAGTGCTCTCCTACTGCAAAAATGCACATTAAAAACCTCCTTATCTCCCCTCTTATAAATCTTGCTCTGCAGTTTGGTCTTGCTGCTTAACAGAAACACGTCAAAGGGATGCACCACATTAAAAATAGAAAGCTGGAAAGGATTCCCTCTGAGCTTGATAAAGCCCTGGGACTTAGAGGAGTAAACACGATGCTACATCAGGTGGTACTGACTCCTTTAGCATGTGCTACGCTTTGTATTGAGAGGTTTACAAGTGTGCCTTTTACCGATCTGCAAGCACTACGGTAGGTGCTTCCAGGAAAGAGACAGATGTTCTTCCATAGAATTTGCAGTCTACAAGGAAAATATCATCTGCTTAGAAAAGCACCGCTCTGTGGTTTTAGGCAGCTGCCCGATTACTTAAAGATCCATCTCTTTGCTCCAGCACGCCTTGGAGAGCTGCACAAACCCAGTTATTCCATCCTGAACAACACTTCAGCCTATCAGCCGGTTTCAAAACCATTAGTCTTGTCACCTTAATAACATTTTAGCCTCTTACTGTAATTCCTTACTCATTTGGCTTCATTTTGTCTATTACTCTGAATAAAGTGGCATCTAAGAGGATGCCAAAAAAGGATAAACTCACAATAACTCATGTAACTGCAAGTGAACATCAAGGCTGAGAGAGACCCCTATGCTGGAATGGGGTGAGCAAACTGCCCAGATCACTCTGATGTTAAAGGCCAACTTGTTCTAGAACTTGGAGGCTTTACAAGCTTATTCTTCACACTGCAGCCCAGTTTCTCATACATGTAGGATTTAAAGAAAAGATCTGATTTAATTCTGGACACTGACCAGTTAAAGCCAAGTGGAACAGCCTGAATCAATCCATTTTACTACGAAAGGCAAAATGCGAGGCAAGGAATAGGAGTAGCCTGTCTTTGAGCAGCTATACACTGTGAACTGCACGCAGCTATACACTAAGACTACAACACGAACCGAGAACTTTACACCTACATTTTACAAAGAGAGGGTTAAATATCAACAAAGACCTTCACTGTTTCTTACAGAGCCAAGCATCATCCTCCAAAATTCTATCAACATTTACTGTAACGCTTGGGACTGAGGCAGAAACTGCTTGTGCCAAAACTGTCACATGAAAGGAGCAAAGATCCACTTGAGATTGGAGCTGGAGCGAAACCAGAGCTGATCTGGCTATACCTGCCAGGTCAATGTAAAATTAGTCATCAGCTCTACCAGTTAATCACTTTTTACCACTCCTCCCCACTCTTTTGTAACAGAGTAAATGATAAATACCTTTAAGGGCAGTCATTTTGACTGTATGGGGATTGGGTTTAGATTTTTCCTATAATTCTTTCAGGTTTTTTATCAGTTTGAACGTGTTCAAGTTAGGCTTGTTTGTATGTAATCTTCTAAACCCCTCCTCAGAGGGGTTTGTATGTAATCTTCTAAACCCCTGCTCAGAGATCACTACTTTAAGTCACTTTTAAATTACTACTTTAAGTGCCTACAACATGTACTAAGTTACTAAAATCACACTAGCACTAAAGGCGCACATAAATGAAGCTACTGCGGCTTCCTTTACTCCATGCTTCAGACAAGCTCGCGGTCAAACCTGTACCTTCCACATCCTTGAAACCCAACAGAGGACAAATGTGCCTGGGTTCAGAAGCAAGCAGCAGAGGCACTCTGAAAAGCACTCGACTGAGCTGCTGAACCAACACTGCTGGCGATTACCTTCAGCATAAAGGAAATTGCAAAACCAAGTCTTCAGACCACTGGTAACAAACCTGTCACATTCATTGTCTGACTCTGACTGCGGGATCACTGGGGCTATTTGCCACTCCTCAGGTTTTATGACCAAATCAGAGCAGACCCCAGCCCTGCATCACACTGGCATGAAAAGGAAGCTCCCCTGTGGCTGCCCCATCCCTGGCAGTGCTCAAGGCCAGGTTGGACACAGGGGCTTGGAGCAAGCTGCTCCAGTGGAAGGTGTCCCTGGCTGTGGCAGGGGTTGGAGCTGGAGGAGCTTTAAGGTCCCTTCAGCCCAAACCAGGCTGGGGTTCTATGACTCTCACCCGGTTTCAATGCTGACTGATGGGAAGCTCTGCCCTGTTGCTGCTCCCAGCCCCGCTGCAGACCCAGCCGGAGCAGAACTGCTGCTCCCTCTCCCACATCCACACCCACTCCCCGGATTTGAAGCTTTTCCCACCAGATAAACCAGCCGGGAGCAGCTCGGTGCAGGCGAGCTCCTGCCGCCCCTACCCCACCCTCTTGGCTGGAGAACAGCATCTCTGCTCCTCAGTCCCTGCACACCAGGCCTCAGAGTGGAAGATGCATTTGTCACCTTGTACCGGCTCCTATCAAGAGGATCCTGTTATCATTTCCCTTTCCCTCTTCCCAGGAAGCCTTAGTGAAAGTGTGACTGCCTCTGCGGAGCAAAGCCAGGCTAAGGGAGACAGGACTAACATCCCTGCAGCAAGGGCCAAAGCCACCTGAATTTCCACGTGTGGGGAACAACAAGTTCAAAAATTAGCAGAAATCAGGAAAGAAACCCAAAGCCCAGCGCAGCGTTTCCCCTTTTAGAGCCCGAGTCTGTACTTCTGCAGGGTTTGAGTCATGATCTGTGCAGAGCTGGCCCCACTGCGCTCTGCACAGCCCTGGTACTACGTGACTTCACTACACAACTGACCCTGCTCAAGCCTCATGCCTCTTCTCCAGCTCAATACAAAAGAGTTGAAAGAAAGCAGGAATTTCATCAGGAAGTTCACAGAAACTTCCGACACTAAATTCACTTGTGCATATTCCTTAACCACTGTTAACTGTGGCTCTAGATGTGCTGAGCACATGAACGAGTCGAGCGGCATTCGAGTCATCCATACCAGAAATGCAACTTTCCTTTCTCGTTGAACATCTCACTAAATCCCATTTGGTATTTCTGTCCATCCCTAAGCCAAAAAGGGCATGGCTTTGGCTGCCGTTCCCTACAGCAATCAGCATCGTGTGTTATGAAATGGCAGCACTGCCGCTGCCTTGCCTGCTGCTGCCTTCTCCTGCTTCCCACCTCCCGCTCCCTCGGCTCTGGGGCACATTCCAGGTACGGGTCTGTTGGACCACGCTTCCAGTTAAAACACCGAACCAACCAATGCTCCCGCATTGCCAAAGCTTTACTGGCAACGCAAAGGGGAATGTGGCCAACCCCTGGGTACAGGCACAAGACTCACAGCTCCTTCTCATGCCTCTTGAACCACATCTTCCTTGCAAAGTTCACCAGCATCTCCCCCTCATCTTCCCAGACACCGTAAGGCAAAACCATCACAGGTGAAGGTCTGCCCAAGGAACCCTCCTCTTGCAACCCATCAAAAAGGGACCTAAACCCACCACTTTGCAAACAGCCATTAGTGGGTCTTCAAAGCGTGCTTGCAACACCTTCACTTCCTTCAAGCCATCCTCATTTAACTCAAGGGATTTTTTCCTATCTGAATTGGTTTCATAAGTAAGAGAAACCAAACAGATCATCTACACAGGGCTGGTTCATTGGCTGTGATGAAACACAAATGCTGTTTGACAACATTTGGCCATGAACGATAAAGCCTTCACAGAGAGAACACACCAGTATCTAGAGCTCCGTGCAGGGCACACCCCGCTGCAAGGGGCATGGGCAACACACACCATTTATTTATTTATTTATAAGGAGGGAATAAAACCGCTGGAAACCCTCTTGCATCAAGGAATGGTGCTTTCAGAAGGCATTTCAATGTACCAGAAACTGCTCAATGCTGCATCCAGCTCCTTCCCAGAGATACCTGCCATCTATTCATAGTATTTTTCTTACTTTTTAGCACGAACATCATGGAGCATCTAAACACAGAATCATAACCACAGAACCCCAGACAGGTTCGGGTTGGAAGACCTTAAAACTCATCCAGCTCCTACCCCTGCCACGGGCAGGGACATCTTCCACTAGAGCAGCTTGCTCCAAGCCCCTGTGTCCAACCTGGCCTTGAGCACTGCCAGGGATGGGGCAGCCACAGCTTCTCTGGGCACCCTGTGCCAGCGCCTCAGCACCCTCACAGGTGTGTGGAGCATGGCTTGCCTCTCTCAACTTGTGCATCAACTATGGCATCATTACCAATCCTGACACTAAAAATCACATACACAAGCCTAGAATGCTCTTCTGTCAGCTTCTATTGCAAATGCACTCACACAGGAGCAGTTAAAAAAGCAGAAATTAAAAGACAACTGCCCCCCACCAACAAAATTAAAAGCCACCAGCACACAACCCAGGACCACGCTGTGGTGTCACCAAGAACTAGTTAAGACTCCCCACATAACAGTGAATGTGTAGTGGAAACTTCTTACTTTCTGTTATGGGAGACAAAATGCAGAGAGAAATAAAACATTTCCTCCTAAAGTGAT